TGAGAATGAGAGAGTATGTGATGCGTATGAGAATGAGAGAACAAGGTTGCGTGAGTGAAGAGTCGAGTGCACCTGCCACGGGCGGGGTTCGAACCTACAACCTCAGTGTTGACAGGCTAGTGATATAAATATAACAATTGCATTATAAAATTATATATTATTAATTTACCAAATACAGAAGTTTCATTTAACCCAAAATTATGCCTTAAATCAATTACATTGTATTGTATTTGGAGAGTTCAGTTGTTTTTTTTACGTTACCTATAAACAAGCCAGTTAAAGAAAGATCAAACAATTGATTTTTTTAAAGTAAAAAGGTCGGCTGTATTTGGCATTTTTTTCATTAGAATACATTCGATATTTTTTCTAGGTATATATAGTCTTCTCTATCATATAAGGTTCTTCCCACTTTGTTGAAAGAATATGTTTAAGTGTTCCTGCAGAAAAAAAATTGGAATTTCCACATTCGGAAGAACAATTTGTGCGGGAATTCTACATTCGGATCGGAAAAACAATTTGAGTGGGAATTGTCAGAATGTTTTACTTTCTGGGTGTGTGTATGGTTCACTAAATTTTTAAAGGAAAGTTCACATCGCAGTACGTGTGCCTTTAATACAATTAAAATTAAATCCTTTAATTGCTCCCGTTCTGATATGTCGCGCATCAATGTATCTGTATCTGTAACGGCATTGAGTATAATATTATTTCACTTAATAAAGGTAACTAATTATTTATTATATATTTTTTGGTTTTTATTGCTGTCATCTGTTTAAAATAGAATACCGTTTTTATTATGAAAGTTTTTTAATACATACCAACATTTTCTCCACCGAAGATCGTCTAAATCATGACAGGGAAATTCATTCAAACTGAAAATCAGAAAAATAATTAGCATTAATTTTCAGCAACCAGCTCCTCCCATCCCCCATCACATTAACTGTGATGTCGTGGTACTCCACTTTATTCATAATTACATGGTTCAAGTGTCCATCTGAAGATATACCGTCGTTTGGGCGGGTTTTTTTTCTAATCAAGATATATACAAAGTCAATCACGGAAGCTTTTTTTTAATTGGGACGAAAAAATTTACATAATATATAAAACGGGACTAAACTATATATATAGCTTTGATTGTTTTAATTTCGATCCCATTAATATCGGTCATTTTATAAGGCACAATGATTAAAATACCAAACTATCGGTTTTGAAGATAAAAATTTGAAATGTAGACACTGCAATAGTCAAAAATATTTGAATAACAGAGTCCGGATTGGGAGAAGGAGGGCCGAGTCTTCATTTCTGTACTCTTTGATATTTGGGTCTTTTTCTCCATTGTTTATAACTATCTATTCTTCATGTTTTTCTTTTTCCTTATTCCTTATTTTTTTTGTCCATAACTCTTTATTCATTAAACCCTACGCAGACCCTAATAGAGTAAAACAATACAATGAAATATTGTTTCAACGTATGGAATATGCTCGCAGTTCCTGGAAGCTAGCTCAATGTAATTAATTTAATAAAAGTATTCTTTCTTTCACTGCTATATGAAGCCTCTGTACCTTCAAGAAAACTTAGGTAGCAGCGTCAATAATAGTGCCGAAAAAACGATCCTAAAAAACGAATTGCAATCTTCAAATTCAAAAAGTCTTCACATATATACCTCCCACATGGATGAAGCTATCCACCGTTGCACACCCAGATACATGGCATATTTAAATTTCTAATCACAATTCGGGGAATGACGACAAACAAACGCAAAACGAACTTATTCTTATCCTTTTGGTCGTGTAAAATCTTTTGCATGCGAAACTATATACACCCAGATGGAACACATACAAGCAACTGTAATGATATTATCTTATTTTCTTGTTTAAATTACGAAGGTGTATGTCCATAGAAATAACCCAGATAATATATATTACTAATCTAGCTGTGCAAATCGCCAAACAATCAAAGACGAATGTTTTTGCTGGCAAGAACTATGTACATATTAATAATCAATTATATATCAATAAACTAATAGAAACATAGTATCCGTGTTTATCATATATAAAAGAGAATTTTCGTTCTTGTCTCGTCTTTTCTTCTTGTGTAATGTATTAAAAATTAATAGGGGTTGTTTTTTAAATGTATATTATACACTTATTCTGCCATTATTGTGTTGGTAACAAATATTATGATTTCCAAATAAATTTTTTCATCGTTTAAAAAATTAAATTATAATATTCTATAAGAGAAAAATCTGTTCTCCTACTTTAAAGAAATGCATACTCTTTGGTCGGGTTGTTGTCTCTTTGACACATTCCCCAATTTTCAATTCTCAATTTTATTGCTAAGAACATCTCAATGAAATAGACATTGAATATTGTATGCAATTGATATTGGTATAACATCTTCGAGAACCTCATGATTTTATGACAAGTTTGACAAGAGCTTGTCGTATTGTTAGGGAACTTGCCAGGAGAGTGGAAATATAAAAAAAATTCAATTGTCCAAGAACAAAGTACTATACGAAATTTAATTGCTTTGGAATTTTTTGTTGTTGTCCCTACTGGTTGTGCTATTACAGAAATAACTTGTCCAGTACATGAAGTTTGAACATATTTATTCCGGGAAAGTTTTGGACAGGCCGGACATATATATGGTATTTCAACATCCCTGAGTTACTTGAAATTGTTATTAGTCAATGGAATTGGTCTTTGTGCTTCATAATCATGATAATATATGATAAGGTTTACAACTGAGAATACTTACATTTGTAATGCTATAATTAGTATTAAATAATAATTTAATAATGTTGGGTTTTAATGGCAAATGAGTAATGATGAAGTGTATTCAAGTAAAGAGAAATTTTGTTAATTTGCATTTTTTTATTATTAGAATATCGGAAGTGACAAGTTAGAATATCGGAAGTGAGGGTTTGCATGGGGTTTACAGAATAAACAAGAATGGGCAAAAAGTGCAGAATAAAGACCCAACAAAAGCATAGAGATAAAAGGTTAATAGAGAAGGAATAGTGGAAAAAAATGCAAAAAAAAAAAAAAGAAAAAGAAAAGAACAGAGAATAATGGTTTGCTTAAATATAAAGATTAGCAAATAATGAGCAAACAAAAAAATAAATAAATAAAGAATGGAGACAAAAGATATGAAACATTAAAGAATATAGATAAAAGGTTGTCAAAGCAAAACTTGGGACAAGCGGAAGTACATGTAAAAATCCAGTTGGTTAGTCTACTATATATTTATTTCAAAAGATTTTTTTCTAAATAAAATTTAATATTTAAGAAAAATACAGGACATCGATATTAATTTGAGACTCTTGAAAGAGTAGACAATGTTTCAAAATCGATAATTTATTTCGAGTTTTTAAGTGGAATTTAAATTTTAACCCAAACAAATTCAAGATTATGATAGTAGGTTAGCGCTTAGATAAAACTATAAGAAATGGCACCAAGAAAATGAGCATTTTGGCGATAAATATCTTGGAGTTTATATTACACGCTCTTTGACTTTTGCTTACCATAGCACAAACTCAATTATATGACTAAGCTACTTAATGAGCACGAATCTTTTAATAGTATATCTTTTGGGGATGCTCTCTTGAAATCGGTTATCCGACCATCTTTTCCGCTTCAAGTCACCAAATACTTGATACATGGCAATATAAAACGGATAAACTGATTTTTAATGCTAGATGAATATTCCAAAATCTGGTCTTTTCCTGGACTTGGGATGGGAGCCAATAAACGATTTTCTTGACAGACAAAGGGTGTCTTATTTTGCTAGTATTCAAGGCATAGACACAAGAAAATTATGTCGAATTGTATTTGAACATCTAAAGTTCCTAACGCTTCAAAGGGGGTGGGAATATTCACAATATATGATCAATTTGTTTCATATGTTTGGTCTGGATCACTTTTACAACTCGAATATATTTAAACAGTTCCTTGGAAGGTTTGTTCGTAGAAGGGAATATCAAGTAATAAATAATAAAAGCAGTCGAGATGTTTTCTCTAAATTTAATTTTGCACAAGGACTGCAGCAATATCCGTCGAACTTGCTAGACTTTAAGTCTGCAAGACGAAAATTGTTAACACGAACAAACTGTTTACCTGTGAACCTAGTCTTATAAAGGATGAATCTTAGCGAGAGTCCCACTTGCCAAATGTGTTTATGTAAATCTGACGAATCTGTTGAACACTTCGTACTTGAGTGTTCTGGATTTTCTTCTTTTTCTGACAAAAGTTCAACATCGTATACAGAGTGTGGCGCTCTCCTTACAAGATGTTTTGGATACGAAATCTACGTATCGACCGGACGTGGAAGCGTATAAATTTCTATTTTTATACACAAGTTAAAATTTAGGTCTAGATGAACAGTGGCGGATTCAAAGGGATGTAGAGTGCGTACAACGCCCTTTGACCGCCCCAAAATGAAAATATCATGTTTCTCAGGATTCATATGACTGCTTAGCATAAAATCTTCCAAAACATTTTTTCGGCGCTATATATTCACTTTCCTCGATTTACGCCCCCTTTCATAAATCCTAGATTTGCCCATGTTGAGGATCTCTTACAACATGTATATGTTTTCTTTTATTCGCTAGCTGATGACGTTTTTAGAGCAATACAATTGACAAGGAAAGGCTATGTAATGAACTTCAATGACTAGTTCGAGTGGATTTCCAGACAATGCTCTCATAATATTGTGTTTTTCTAGAAGTTTTATATGAACCTAGGTATTTAACACCTACTCGGTATCTCGTCTATTATTAATTTGCTCTTGCACTTTGAGAACCGTATACAACGAGAACGTCTTTTGATGATTTCCGAAACTCTCATAATTAATAATTTACAAAGCGTTAACTCCTTCAAAATGTACAAATACACACTATTGATCAAAGACCCTCTAACAGATTCTTAAGTGTTTATCTGTTGCGCATCTCTGTTGTTTTTGGACAGAATTTGAGGCATCTTCTCATCAATTGCAATTAACTTTGGGAATGGTTCTGATCACGTGACAGCACGTGCGTAATATCAATACAGTAGCAGAAGATAATTCTCTCTACACACATTACTACGATTTCATTACACAACAGAGCACATTTTATACTTCATTGCACTGGATTCTACGACATGGGACCAATTTTATGATAAAAAATAGAGGTAGGTTTATTTTTTATTGATTTAATTTACTGTACGAGAACATTACACGCTCCGGTCGTCAGTCTGACTTTTCTTATCTCGTAATCGTTTTTATGAATGGCATTCCATCAGATGGAATTTAATATAAGAAGTAGTGATCTACATGAATCGCACTCGCGTAGAGTGAAAGAACTATAAATTTCTATCACTTCCTGGAGAATACTTAAATTATGATACAAATCCTTTTTAAATAACCCCTGAACAATTTCATAGAAGTGAAGTATGAAAACAAATAAACTCAAGTGAAAATTACACATTAATAGTTTCTTTATGTTTATGAGTTAACAAATATAGAGAGCACTTTTAAAACACGATACATGTTTGGCTGTCTTTATAGGCATAACGTCTTGATAACATGTTTTTCGCTGTAATCAGATACTGATGTCAAATATTCATTAGGACATTATATTCCAAATTGAATCATCGAAATAAAGTGATCGTAATATGAGTTAAAGAACAAAACTATATCACATAGAAACAAAACAGATAATACATATTGCAACAGTTGACGGCATCAAGTAGACGTCAGACCGTTAATATAGCTTTTACATGTGAGGACGTGTGACACTTTGTTTCAGAATCTAATGTATACATATAAAACAAAAACAAAAATTCAAGAAAGTGGTCTAACTAGCTATTTCGGAATCCTTATAAAATTTGCACGTCTTTTTTATTTCATAATGTAAAAGAGAAAAACAATTATGCCGATAGAAAGTTATTTTTAATAAACTAAAATCCTCGCAGAGTTGAATATTGCAATAAGTACAAATGTAGATGTGGTATGAAGGTCTCGTAATCTTGGTAAACAACTATCCATCCCAGACCAAAGGACATGCATGAATGTCTTTATTACTAAAACCACTGACAACAAATGTATGTCAATAACCATATTTCGGCTAGGACCTGTGAATGTGAGTTTGAACATGCGAAGAACTTCTCAATACATGATGATGAATATAAAACAAGAAATGGCGCTTTGTAACTATGTATTTATACACCTTTAACTTGTCAAACTTTAAGATAGGTGTGTTCCTGATTATGGATGACGGTTAATCAAGAAAAGCAAGCGGACACACAGCAAATCAGTATGTTGGATTTATATATACTGCGTTTAAAAACACCATCCAATTTGAAAGTAAGGATAAGGTGGCTCGATTGTATTAAATGTCGTACCGACTGTGCCAAATGTTGAACATTGAGTGCCTTAAGATGAAAATTGATGTGGTGTCGTAAAATGAGTTGTTTTGTCGATTAAGAATGTTGGATCATTTGCTTTTTGTTTTAAAATAAATATTGAAGTACATGTAAATTGTTTTTTCTCTCACTTGTTTCGATTATGTAATCGAACAAGTTCGTACCATCCATATGTGTTTTAAGTTCGAAACGTGAAATCGAATCTGATACTGTACAACATCTTCGCTAGCCAAGGGTTACGATCTAGTCCCCTCCTCTCCACGTGCATGACGTATAGAAGAGAGGACTGAATCGTAACCCTTGGCTAGCGAAGATGCTGTACAACAACTTGTCAACTAAAACTACAGACAGTATTTCAGCTCTTTTACATAAGAATTCATTAACATGAAGTGAGTTTTAATTTATAAAAAAAAAAATAATTATGAATTTTCAATGGTATTTAAAACATGGTGTAACCTGATAAAACATTGATAATAAGACTATCATCCCATGTATAATAGAACTGTAGAACTCGCATTAAAATATCATATTTCATAATAATATAATAATTTCGGTAATGACCCATTATATGATTGCTAGATTCAGACAAGTCATTCTTGCATGCGTTTGCTTTGAGCCTTAATAGAGGGTATGTTGGGGGTTTACCGAATAGAGAATACCTGGCAAAAACAGTATAGAGAAAAAGAATTAAAAAATGGGGGAATAATGCGAAACAAAATGAAAGATATAGAAAAATTACCAATAAATACAAATTAAAAAAAAAAATAAAAATAAATAAATAAATAAAATAAATTTAATCCAGACCCTCAAAACGTTTCACTTTTATCATTATGATTATGATAAAAGAATAGATAAATAAGAACTGAATCTAAACATGTTCATTTTGTAGTGAAACATATGATTCCTATCAGAAATCTATCCATTTAGCCTTCCAAGCGTTTAAGCTAAAATTGTTTACATGTTATTTGCATAAGAACTATTCAACTAATGGCAACATTCCAAAGTGGAAATTAACTCTTAAAAGACGGTGAAATTACATGTAAAAAAATTGGGGAATGCATTTTAAGGTAAAGTAGTGATTATGTCCAGTTGAAAAAGGTCAAACAATGTCCGCAGCTGTTAAACTGGATTATAGACCCCCTTAACATAAAGTTGTCCATATTTTGAGTAGTAGTTGATATTCGTTTCTATGATTTTGATATAATTTGTCCCAAAGGACTCGAAACTACACTGTAAAATTCTTAATGGGATAGAGCAGGTGCCATTTCTAAAATTTGCATGTATTGTCTAACAGAAATGCATTACGAAACAACTATGTCCTCGGGCTTTGTGTACTGTCATAGAAGGACGAAGTTATACGAATAAGACCGTTTATTGCCGGTGAAGCCTGTATATAAATTCTGATGATCAAACATTCAAGAAGCACTCATTAAAATTTATATACTTTTCTACATGTATATACATTGTATCTATATCAGACTTACAGCTATACAGCTGGTAACAAAGAAAACTATAAGTAAAAAATGTGTGAAAAGAACTGGATTGAATTATCTGCATTAATATGCATGGTTACATCCCCTGTGTGATTTTATTCTCATATTAATTCAATTATACTGTTAACATTGATTGTTTACAAAGCGTTTAAAAACACCATTGCAAGATAGTCAGCAAGTTATAGTAAATCAGCACGTGTGTATTATGAGGGTCTGATTGAGTTTTACAGAATAGAGAATAATGGATAAATACTACACAAAAATGGGCCCCAAAATAATAAAGAATTACAGAGAAAAATATGCTCCAAAAATAGAGAATAATGGGGATGCTAAATTATAAAGAATAGAGAATTATGGGCAACAAATATAAAGAATAGAGAAAAAACGACCTAAAAATTTGAAGAATACAGAAATGAAGGACCCCCTCCAGACCCTCTATTAACGTGTCATCATTCAGTCTTAAGATTGAGTGAGACACAATGGTCCGTCATTGTTTTACACATGGTCTATTTAGTTCAATTTCATATTGAACATCAGATAACCTTTGAAGGTCATAAATCAACTAACGAATAGCACATGGAATTATCGTAATATCGTCCCATGATCCTGGATAAGCCAATAAAATTAACGCAATTTTCGTATCACAATCAGTCCAGTGTGCGGTCAGGAGCCGGTAATCTTTGGTTGTCGTTTGTTGCTGTATTCCAATCTCCACATCTCCTTTTTTAAATTAAGGCAGACAATGGAAAGTGTAAAATTTTACCTGGAGTTTGAGTACATTAAAAATAAAATTTACTGTAGTTTCTATTAAACGAATAATACACTTTAAATAGTAAGTTCACACTGCTTGTATCAGTTTATGTATTAGATGTATGCTTCTCATATCCGAGGGGCGTTAGTCCCGAAGATATGAGACGACTTCATACAATTTACATAGAAGTAGTATATAAGTATCTTATCTTTTCTCTTGTTCTAAAATGAGCAATTACATGTAGTTTTTTTTTAAACAGGAAAAAAGTGTCATTATCTCAAATTTTCCAGATGCAGTTACACTTGCAGAAGATAATTTATAGTTATGGATTTGGGAAGAAATCTTAAATTGCGTCTTTTTTTCTGTCATCCTATAATAATTTATACCTCACCACTGCTTTTGTATGGCAATATTATTTAATCGCTGTACTGTCTTGTGTTCTTCTGGTTCAACTGTCAAAATCCGAATTTTTTGCTTATAACATGTATAAATGGTAAAATTTCTATGTAATTGCATTGATACACCTTGAGGGCGTTTACACTAAGATATAATGGTCAATGCAGAATGATAGTTTTCAATAATTTAGGAGGGGGTCTTTCAGCGATTTGACCATATGTTATTGAAAAGCGTGATAAATGCAGGGTATCTAATTTCATTTAACGACATCTTTGTCATGTTGGTGTAAGTAAATAAAAGATCGATATATTAGAAATTAACGACACGTATTTCACAGAGTGAGGGGATAGGGTTGATTGAGGCATGTTTAATGTTTATGTGCCAAAGAAAAAATTAAGGCTATGGGACAGCAACCTTAAGGATGTTCGCTCCTCTTGTTTTTGAATTTTTGCCAGATATTCGGAATCCTCTGGTTTTATCCATGTAGTGATATTAAAAATTTTGCCCACTAACATCTAATTTTCTTTCCATAATTTGATTACATATAGTTGAAAATGTCATCTTTGAAAATCTTATAAAATCCTTGTTATTTTTTCATAGTTTTTTAAAAGAGAAAAGTGGACAATGTTAAAAGTATAAAAAATCTAGAGAGCATCATTTCCCGCCAAATTTTCAATGGCTTATATCTCAAGATCAAGCACACGGACTCTTCCTTTGTTTATGATATACTATCAATTTATAACAGTCTTTTAAAAAAGCTTGTTATTTTGAAACAGAGTAGCGAACGTCCTTAAACAAAATAATGTTAATCTACGATAAATATATTTAATTTGATATACATGTATTGACTGACATGTATTTGTTGTGCATTCATTTAACTTGTTTGACCGATTTTCTAATCTGGTATTCGTTAAACATGTTTCTTTATCGTGAAATTTAAATTCATCACTTACTGTCTATTAAGAACTTAAAAAAACAGTTAGTTGCAGCTTAGGATATATGAAAATAGAATATCGACAAATCTTCTACTGTTCTTAATTATGTTGCATTAGATTAGAGGGGTACACATTACTGTTCGACTGGTAAAAACTATCCGCTCCGATAAAAACTATGTAATTACAACAAACTGTGTTTCACCATTGTATTGTCTCACAGCGGCGGCCGTAGAGTTAATTGTCTTGAGCTTCTTCTTTATGAAGAACAAATTAAATCATATACAGATGTTCAAAATTCAATTGAACCTTTTTTACTGCGCAATTTTTCTTCGTGTAGCATAAACATGCTGGATTGATGATAGACATGTGGTAATCAAATTCCTTTAATACTTCATTTTGAAGTTTTCATGTACCTTGATCGATTACCAAATATTTAGAATTCTCCAGAAAACCACACTGGTAGTCACACGGTAGTGCTTTTTAGGTACGCTGTCGTAAAAATGCATAATGCACGTTGTTATTGTAAATACCTATTTGATTTTTATAATTTTTGTGGTTAATGTATTTATAAAAAGATTGGCAGCTGGGTGTTGTTAATAAATTTCAAATTTTATAGAGGTTGTAGAAGCGATTAAACAAATTTTCTGATAAAACAATCATCAATTGAAAATCATGGCTGTCGCATTCTTTTTGGGTACAATATCTGAACGAATTTCAAACACAAAACAGTTCAGTTAACATGGTTAAAGTGAAAGGAGGTTTGTCATTAAATTACTTGTTTAACCATGCACTCACCTGGTTATAAAGCGGTTATCATATTTTCACGTTGAAATCAGAAAAAATATCTGATGATGATGGATAGCTGCTATAACGTCCAGCGGCAAATTGATATGCTTATTCATGACGAGAACATGTTAATGTAATATGAATATTTACCCTGCTTTGTACAAGACCAACACGCTGAGCCGGATTTTTAACGTGCTAGTTCACAAGGTAACAGTCCGCAGGAAGACATGTCACCTTACCCGGACACATCATTCTGACTCCGAGCCGACCCGTCTTTGCTCTTGCTCCTTAATGCCGCGTGCGTAGCGGAGAAGCAGCAAATACCAATTTTAAAGTTTTTAGTTTGACCCGGCCGGGGTTCGATACCGCGATCTCCCGCACTCGAGGCGAGCACGCTACCGCGAGACCACCGAGGCGGTTAGAAAAAATATCTTGATACATGTTAAAGCGCAAGCTCAATCGTATATACATGTGTATCTACAGCTGGATAATGACTGATTAAGTCGACAAAACAAATGACTTTAACATAATTATTTACTGCAATATAGTTACATATTAGTGTTACATCTTACAAGCTAGACTTGGTATTTGTCATGGCTTAACCATGTTGATTTAGTTGACGAGGGGAACAACTTTTATTATACTGCAATAAAGCCTTATAGCAATTAAAAATTTGAGACCGGGCAATAGAAGTCATATGTTCTAATAATATTTGTTTTTTTTTCAACGATGGTCGACATTTCAGTTACTTGCAAAATCAGAGTATAGAAAAAATAGTAACTGTTGATTTTTTTTTAGAAAAAGAGAATTTTAGTTCACACTATTACATATGTTAAAATATAGACAATATTAGAAAAGGACATTAGAAGCCTTTCGATGAACTTCGCCACTTCAAATCTATTTGTATTAGAGAATTTATAAGAAGTAGTGGATTCGTAAACGATAATCAACGAGAGACGTTAGAATATAAATTAATTTCGCTTGACAATGGTTTCCTCAAAAAAATCCTACGGTTAGAACAATAGACTGACGTCCGAAAAATAGGTTCATTTTATTTTTAGTGTCTATTTCTTTGTTTACAGATTATTAAATGGTAGTTATAGATGGTATTAGAATATGACTAGTCAGCGTGTTATTGTAGATGAAACTGAACCAACAGGTGGTAAGTATGATAACTCCTCAAGGGAAGTAACTCAGTTCCGACTGTGCAAGACCCTCATTGGTAGTCAAAGTCGTTAAATACCCCTTAGTAGCCGTGGAATATATATTTATTTGGATTTAAGAGGGTTAAGCATTTTAATAAAGGAGTAGATAAGCAATCATTTGAATACAGGATGTGAGGTATACATCAAAAGACAGCAGTTCAACAACAAAAAATCAAAAGACACCCAGAAGTCAACACATGGTCTTTAACAAAAGGCAATGGTGTATTAACAATATGTCAACCTCTAACTCGACATACGTCTAGAAAAGTTTTGAAATCGTCAAAGGTCTGGGAAGTTTTTGATATAGCCATAAGTATAGAAAAATTTTGAAATCGCCATAAATCTAGAAAAGTTTTGATATCGCCATAAGTCTAGAACAGTTTTGAAATCGCCAAACATCTAGGAAAGTTTTGTTATCGCCATAAATCTAGAAAAACAGCGAATAAAAACCGAGAATATCACAGATATGCCATAACACCAAACTCAAAAGACATAAAAGAGGTCAACACATGGTCTCTTTAACAAAAGGCAATAATGAAAATAATAATATATCAGCCTCTAGATCGCCATAAGTCTAGAAAATTTTTAATATTACCATGAGTCTAGAAAAGTTTCGAATGAAAACAGAGACTTTCAAAAATATGCCATCAACATCAGAATACCCCACACAAAATTAAGGAATGACAAAATTGATGGCACGTGACAGGCAAATGATCAGCTTCAAAATCTTCTTGCAATCTCTTCATCATTTCATACGCAAAAAAACTTGAATGAGACAGGAAGCCATTTAAGAACAAACTACCTGTAGCATACTAATTGATGTTTTAGGAGGAACATTATGTAAACAATTTGACCAATCGATTGAACATTTCAGGTGATGAACCACCGTTTGAACCTCGTTACGTCACAGTGAAGAAATCAAAATGGGTGACTGATGAATATGATATTCATAATAATCTGCTGGGAAGGTAAGAGATTCTTGCCCTTTTGAGAACCGTATTGTAAACATTTATTATCCAATGGTATGTCGTAAATCTTTTGTTTTCCTCGACCAATTTACGGTCAATGGTAACCATGCATGGTAAACAAGAAATTGTTTGATAATGTTATGGTGTATTTATTCCCGAGATACTTTGGGATGAAGAACATCAATAAAAGTGTCGTCACTTTGCTTTGGGCTGTGTTTAGTTCGTGTTTTGAATTTATACACCATAAACCTTTTTTCAATCATTTTGTGATAGCATCCATTGCTGTATATTCACAACAAAATTACAATAATTACAATTAGGAAAAACCAATCCAGCTTATTAACTTTATTTGATCAAATCTGATGTTGCAAAGAAGAAAAATAGAGAAAACATGTTACAAGGCTTCCCTTGACAAGATGAAAAGTTTTTTCTTTGCAATATTTCTGTCTAAATGCTTAACTCATCCGGGTCGTGTGGTCAATTATGGACGAGATCCCTCCACTTTATATGAGGGTCTGGATGGTTTACAGAATAGAGAATATAATGGGCAAAATGCAAATAAAGGGCAAAAGATGATGAATTGAGAAAATAGGTAATAATAATAAAAAATAGAGAATAAATGGATACAAAAAAATATAGAACGGAGAATAACTATTACAGGCAAAATAGATAAAATATAAATAATACCAAAATGGTCTAAAAATTAAAGAATATAACTACTATTCTAGTAATGAGTAGAGCTAGTTTTAATTTGCAATACCCTTTCAGTAAACAAAAAGTAAATTACGAAGCACATCACGTGGTGTTTAAGGGTTCAGTGTGTACCGCGTGACACACGACCAGACGTCTATAGAATGTATAAATGTGAGCGCGAAAATTCCAAACAAAAGTGACATTTTGAGAATCTCAATAATTGACGCATAAATATATTCTTATGAAATGCTGCCAGGATATGTATAAATTCCTCTTGTTATTAGCTTTTTCTATTTTTTTCCCAATTAGTCATGACAGTTCATGCAAAATCGGTCATTGGCCCAGACACAAGCATGTCGAAATTGGATAGCGAGGGAGGTAAAGGCCTATTGGTACTCTGGCACATTCCGTCCAGACTTCAGATGGATTAATCGGAAGTACTTTTAAAATACCACAAACTCTGACGAGGTTTCTGACTTTGTATGATACATATACATTCGACTGTATATTGATAAACGTTCGAATATTGTTTTAATCATTCAATTTTACGCTTATGTTTAAACGTATAGTTTCTTTCATTTCCTAACTTTTGGATTTGTTGTCTAATGAAATCAACAGTACTTAAACGCGGACCGCGATGAGAACCCCAGTTGAATAATATAACGGTCGCTCACAATAGAAGCGGCATACAGGGAGAATATAAACGTCTAATACCTATACGTTTATCGCCTATTGTTATCTGTCAACATGACGTTTTTGTATTTATAAAGTAGAAAGGTCGATAGCAAGATCAAAAAATATAACAAGTTGTCGTCGGCTATTTACGTTAAATTAAATACATAATTCGATACTAAGTCGACCCAGAAGCCAATTCGATTATGATTTATTTACAATCGCATTTTAGTAATCTGTTTTTCTCAAACATATATTGAAGCCCCCGTCGAGACAGAGGGGGCTTTAAGTGTTAACCTTGTTCGTCCGTACGTCCGTCCCAAAATTAGTTTCCGTTCTCTAACTTTAGTTTGCCTAAACCAAATGTTATGAAACTTATACACAATGCTTATTGCCATAAAACACAGACCAAACGGAATTTTGGTGGCGTCATTTTTACAGTTCTCTAGTTAATTCCCGTTATATGCAATCGTATATCTTGTCGTATAAGGTACACATATTTTGCTATTTGGAGAAAAAAGAAAACATCAACCTAATTATATATTACTGTAGTTAATATTTTCTGTTGAAACTCGACCTTCGTGAAAATCTCATTGATTTCGTAAGTCATGCAAAGTGGCCATGTGGACATATTATGGAACGCCAAAACTGTCTTTTTATGTTCATTTTCATTATAAGATGTCCATTTGCCATTCATTATATGATGTGCAAAAACCTTTATTTGCTGCATATTTTATCATGGTAAAATCGCATCATATAATGGCGAATGCACATCACAAGAAAGTTTTGACGTTCCATAATATACACTAGAATTCTAAGGGAAAAGTCAGCAAAACAGATTTAAAAAAGAAAAACAACAACGTAATTGGTTTACCGAAAATAACTTTATAAAATGACCGTTCTAATTCCCTATATTTCCAAGAAGTTTTTTATTGGTTGACGAGTAAGCTAGGTTGTAGAAATTTTGACGATTTTGTATTTCCATGAAGAAATTGATTTGCAGCAAATAGAAGTGCTAATCAATTTTATTCGTGATTTTTTTATTTACATTTCTCTACATGCTTAATAATCGAAACGTTTATATATGTAGAGTTTAATGAGAACAATTTAATGCAGGATATTGAATTTTTAACCGGATTTTCGAAAGAAAAATCGGTTATTGATTTGTGGATGTACGGCGGGCGGGCAAGCGGGCGGTTTCCAAACAGTGTCCGTTCATTAACATGAAAACGCTTTGACGAAATCTTTTCTTATTTAGACATGTTGTTTCCTGTTACTAAATGAAGGTCAAGTTCAATTTTCACGATTTTAGCTGTTCTCGTTGTTGAGTTGTAGACCTTTTGTAGCAAAAGTGATTCTTATTATTTGATTATTTGATTTATTTATTTTGAGTTATTTCCCTTTGAACAGAAATGGTGTAATTAATAAGTTTATATTTTTTTAATTTTGGAAATAATAAGATGACGTTAAATTTATATACACAAACTTAAATAAAATTCACCTTTTAAGAACTGGCGGTATATCAAATGAATTTAATACAACTGCAATCGAGATCATTTGGGTGTACCTTCTTATTGCAGCTGGTATTTGTTGGAATTTAACATTGCGAAATATTGATTTTTGTTAAAAGATTCAGATGCGGATCCAGGATTTTGAAAAAGGGGGGCCCGCGGGTCCCCAGACTAGACAAAATGTGTAGTGGAACCAGTAAAAAGTCTAGGTTTACCATAAATAAAGCTCCATAAGGGGGACCGGAACCGGGCACCCCCCTAAATCCGCACCTTAGATTACCATTAAGGACGACATACTTCACTTTATAGATTTGTGCACAATTTAACTGCAAATGAATTAAAAACAAAATAACAGAAAGTTCATGGCTAGCCTGCTGTTGAAACCAAGATCTTTTGAGTGTAAGAAAATTATACAAATCTGTGTTATACATGTACAAAATGCCTGATAATTATATAATTATGACCTAGATGAGTGACTTAGTGTTTTTTGATGATTCATCGTAAAACACTTCCTAGATCCCGCTAGCTCACTAACAAGACTCATATTTCTGCGTCACTGTTAATTATTTAATATTGATAATACAATAATTATATCATGCTTTTGTTTTCATTTGGAAATAATAAAGGTAATAGAACATACATGTCTTAAGACTTCATGAGGGTACCTCACTAAGTCACATGGTCACGTTTAAATATTGCCTCGGGTCACCAGGTCACTTCTTATTTTCAAATATAACATTTAAAAGAAACGGTTTTGAATATTTTCAAAGGACGTCACGGTCCTTTTTATTGAGACTTCAGGTAGTAAGGTCGGTTGCAAAATCCTCCGAAGCGGATTTTACAATGTTGGAGCCACATACTTAGGATAAAATGTTTCACAAACAGAATAATCATTGTTTCCACAGTCACACTGGGTTCAAATTACTAAAGTGGTTTCTTAACAGATTTGAATGCCAAATATGGTCTCCATTTTTCACGTCAAACTATGAAAGACAAAAGCTTTTAGTCCCGAGTCCGTTGTTTAGAAAAGTGTTTACATACTTTTAATATTTAATACTTCTAAATGGCTTAGGTGTGATTAACCGACAACTACACTATCAATCTGTTTATAATGCACTATGAACGGAGAAAATTGACATTTATCAACAAGAATTTTATATCTACCTCAAACCGTAATGAGTGTAAATGATTGATTGATTAAATGAAGGTGTTAAACGCCACTTTCAGCTCACTTGGTAATATCAGCGTCAAGATTTTTTGATGGAGGAAGCCGGGTTGAAGAATACATAGGAGTTAAAGAATGTAAACAACACTTCAATACATTTCATGCATCCTATGTCCGTTTCTGGATTTAATTTCATCAGGAACGTTCAAAGCCGAATATTTGAAAGCCAAGGATGTATAAGAATCGAAACAGTTAAAAACCTATATGACTAAAAAGGACCTAAAAGCAAAAGCCAATCCATCTACGGTCAACTTTACCTTAGAGAGTAATATATAATAACAAATAAATGTGCAGTAATAATTTTGGAATTCATGGGATCTTCTTTACATTATAAAACGGGACAGTTTCGTAGATTCCACGAAGAAAGAATTATAGTCATTACTTGATGATTTAAACCAGGTTAAAATGTTTCCAATATAACTGTTGGGTATTGTTTAATCTTGCATATGTACTGTAACCTTGTCCTCTCTCTTTAAATGTTACTCAGTCGACAAGGGTGCATTCGATACATTTAGAGACACTAAAGTGTGTTTCGGTGTAAATACGTTTACAGATGTTATCCTTTAGTTTGATTATACCTCTTAGAAAAGTTCAAGAAAATATTGGATGTTTAAGTGTGCAATGTCATTAACAAATCATATTTATACCTGGTCGTTATCAATGAGAAACTGCACACGTACTTGGCTGCATTTTATTAATAACAACATGCTGTATCTTAAATAACATTAGCGGTACCAAATGTTTTGCACCAGATGCTCATTTCGATAATCTATGTTTCATCAGATATGCTTGAGGCCAAAATATTTGAAAATCAAAAACCTAGTATAAACGTTGAAAGAACCGAAAACAAACAAACATGATTAACACGTAGAGTCAAAATCCGGACAAGGACTCAGAGCTATATGTGGCACGGTAGTATTTACATTCCAGAATTCAGGTTGCTCATTTGTGTACCCTACTTAAGTCAATGTATCGGAACAAAAAATACAGTATCTACTGAACATACTTCCCCAAACTGAGGGAGGAATCAAGTGTAGAAAAATATGAAATGATTTTACATACAGGTGAAAATGAATTTTTGAGAATTTTTTTTAATTTTGTATTCACTGCCAGATAAAAGACATAAAAGCACCAATGGCCTTAGGCTTATAAAGATAGCAAAAAAAGTAAACGGTCATCATACATATTCAAATTAATTTTTGAATATTATAATGAAAGTACTTCAGTTAACCGTGTATGTAGAATTTTGGGCAGTGTTAGAAAGTGGTGAAAATTCTGAAAAGGCTATCATAAATCCGTATGGGCCAAAAATACTACCGTGCCACCTATATACACGAGGGAAAACATTCATTAGTTTAAAAATGATTTCCAAATTTTATCATACTATTAACAATAAATTTCAATATTAAATTACATGATATGGAAAACGATCGTTGCAGCTTTCAATATATTTCTGAACATTTTCATAAATTCTCATTATGATTGTTTATCCTCAAAACTAAAATCGGTGACAAACGCGTTTATTTCGGGTTTCTTATAGTCAGCTTTCCATTCATATGTACACCTAGGAAGTGGTCAGCTCGGTGGAAGAGGGAAGCTCGTCTTTCTGTGTACTTTTGTGATCTACAAATTGTAGCAGTTACAAATCAGATTTTGTATTTTCGGACTTGCTTAAACATACCACTGTTGTTTATATTCATATAAAATAATAACACACACACACACTCTCTCTCTCTCTCTCTCTCTCTCTCTATCTCTCTCTCTCTCTCTCTCTCTCTCTCTCTCTCTATATATATATATATATATGCATATGTAATATTTGCCACAGGACATTAAACAATCACCCGTTCGAAAATTCAGTGTGAATATTGTAATGACATTAGAATCAAATACAATCCGAAAGTCGTCGATCAACAATTTGATCACCTCGATCACGTCTTGATATTAAATTTTGGATCACTTACACATTATTTCAGAAGGCCTCAACATATATCTTTAACACATTTAATTTTTTTAAAGCTGAAAGGATCCAAACTTATATAAAATATCGTATTTTAAGACGGGGAAAAGTAAAAAAAATAATTAGTTATAGCAATGAAAGATGAACAAAACAAAATAGCAATGAATTAAATGCTAACGTGCAGTAAAAAAAATCAACTTCACAAATAAAACAAATCTGTTAATAAAATTATTCCAATATTCTAGCATTGATTGATTGATTGATTTTTGGTGTTTAAGGCGACTTTCAGCACTATTGGCTATTTCGTGGCTGTTAGGTTTTTATTGGTGTAGGAAGCCGTAGTGCCCGGAGAGAACTACTGACCTTCGGCAGGTAAACCTGCAATGCTAATAAAACAAGATTGGAGTCGAACTCGCAACCTCAACATTGACGAGTAGATGAACTACTTATGAGACCACTTCTCTACCGAGGCCTCCTAGTACACTAGAACTGATATGTAGTTTTTTTACCCACGGCTTTATAAAAACAAAGATTCTTAAGAGTGCACATGTTGCTTGATAAAATGGTACAAGAAATAGTAAATTCATCATTCAACGTACAGTTTGCCGATGATTTCATTATAGAACATAATTGACCTGATTGTAAAGATCTTTCTAGCACATACTCAATTTGTTTTAATGATATAATCATAACGTAGATGAAATATTGCTAATAATTGATGATATAATTGTAAAACCTTGCATCTATATTTATAATAAACGAAAGAGAAACATTACAGCGTTATAGCTAAATCTCAAATAGTCTATTTTCATATTACCGACTTTTGACTCCGGATTATATAATTTGTCGACAGGTTACGTTGGACATCATGGTACCAAGTCAGGTAAGAGAAAGCTAAAGAAGTAAAACCAAGCTTTCAATCGGTACAATTTTGGGGGGAAATTACCTGGTTAATATTTTTTTTTTCACTACAAAATCATCGGAAAACAGTAAATTTTCCCCTCAAATTACACCGATTATATGTTTGATTTTACTTATTTTGGTTGCTCTTACTTGACCGAGTACCATGATGTCCAAGGTAACCAGTCGACAAATTATATAATCCGGAGTCAAAAGTCGGTAATATGAAAAAAGTCTAATGATGATAAATGTCTCGTAAAGAGAATAGCACTTTTCCTGTCCAACTTGCAAAAAAATACAGCAAGTTATGATAATGCATAGCATTTTGTTTGACATACTTATTTAAAAAAACAGTATACACAGGCGTAATGAGGATCTGGATGGGGTTTACATAATAAAGAGTAATGGTCAAAAAGTGCAGAATAAAGGGGAAAGAATAGAAGAAAAAAAAGATAGAGAAAAATGAAAAAAAAAATAAGCATAGAGAATAATGGAATGTTATAAATTAAAAGATAAAGAATATGGAACAATGGGCAAACAATATAAATCAAATCGGGTAAATTATATTTTTAAAGAAATTAGCCATATTATCAATCTCAGATTTTGATAAAAAGTTAACACACTGGAGAAAGAATAAGTAATATAAAAATAAGCAGATGTGGTAAATTCCTTTAAACAACCATGACTCTTTCTCAACATGTACCGCAGGTGGTTTAAAAATCAAATTTCAGTCTTCACAAATTGAAACAAGCTTACATAAACTGTGATGATACAGTTCCTCGGACTATTCATGCAACAGAATGAACACGAGAGGAATAAAGTTTCCAATTTTAAATTCCCGAATTATAAACCTACCTGGAGAATTTAGGCAAAATTTAAAGGTTCCATCCATGAAAGTGTCGTTTTCTCGAAATGAATTATTATTAATCTTGTTCTTTAAAGCATTGACATGCAGTATAAACATAGATAACAGTCTGCATGGTCTGTGGATTGCGGAGGTTTCAAAATTTGGATTTATAACATTGCAGGTTACAAGAGCGCAATTATTTGTTTACATTTTACCGGCAAGTTTTTTACCCAAAAATGGTACTCAGAATAGAATCCTGTACGGCTTCTGATTGGATGATACAGAATTGGAATTACTTTTAATCGAAAGCTTATCCAATTAGGTTTAAAAAATCCAGAAAATCAATTTCACATTTTGCAAAGTATAGAAAATATCTTCCATTTCTGCACGTCGGGGCCATTAAAAATATGCCTTTTTCATTAAGCGAAAAAATAGGCGATCTTTTTCAACTGCATTTTAAGTCAATTTTTGCCGCATGACGATGTATATTTTTTTGGTTGTAATGCAACACTGGCATTTCGAGTAACAGGAACTGCTACCCGTTTTCCCCTAGTTTGTGTAGTCTTCGAGAAAAAAAACGGAACACCACTGATACCCTATGGAAAATGCATTACGAATAATTGCGCTCTGGTAACCTGCATGACCATCTAACATTTCTAAACTATAAACTATTCCAAGAAGGTCTGATGAGAAGTAGCGATGAAAATTTGGCCAATTTACCTTGTATTTTATTTTAGATACGGTAAAAATTTGGAATTTGTTGAAACATATAGGAATTTGAACATTAAAGAGTTTTTATGGTAAACTTGAAAAATTTGAAAACAATTTGACATATATCTATTTTGTACATTAAACAGTCAGGTCCATGATGGAAAACCATCCTTTAATTAGGATGTTAAATCCATCCACAAGAAACATTTCACATTTTGTTAAAAATGTTACTGTACTCTACAGTTTAAAACAGTTTTTATTTGATATTGCAAATTTACATATTTTGCAAAATTTTGCTTAAGAACATCCATAGATACATGTAACTGATAGACTTTTATCAATAGCTTTCTGGGTTAATTGAGAAGAAGTGACAAATAGTTTGATCTAGGTTTTTATATTTTAAATTTGATGACAACTTTTTCATTTTTTAACGCACTTTGTCGCTTTGCTTTCTAAAGAATTAACGATGTGGTTTGGTAGTTATTCCATATTTATATTTTAGGATAAATAATCAGAATTTTCCCAACTTTCGGAATTGCAGTTTTAATCCATCTTGGAGCCTTTATGATTGGTTTATACGTTCATAAATGTGTTAGAAAACCAAAGAGGACACATGCAACTGTAATTTTTTTAATTCTTACTGTAGTATATTGAGAGACTTCTTGGAAAAAAAATGCTGGTGTAAAAAAAAATCAGATTAAGTTTGATTAAGTACAACTTTCTGGGTCAGTATTTCACGAGAGTTTGGGTAAGGTTTACAGACTAGTGAATATAATGTGCCTTAAAATAAATAAAATAAAATAAGAAATACTAAAGAATAGAGAAAAATAGCCTAAATAATTAGTGAATAGAGAAAAATTGCCTTAATAATAAGAGAATAGATAAAAATTGCCTAAATAATTAAAAGAAAATATAAATGAAGACCCCCAGACATAATCCAGACACTCTTAAATAGGATGTCCTACAATGTAGTTGGGGAAAATAGTCTGTAAAATTCAGAACATGCCAAAACAATTCCAACAGTTTTGTTTTTACTTTTAATTTACATGTGTTTTATTCTTTTGATTTACCTAACATTTTATTCAGAGGGAAGTTTGGCGAAGTCAAACCATGCCGTGAAAAGCGTTCTGGGCGCCAGTTAGCAGCTAAGTTTATAGAATTTAGTGGACCACAAGAACGGAAAGATGTTACAAACGAGGTGGAGGTCATGAGAAGTCTCCAGCACCCAAGACTATTACAGATTTATGACGCATTTGAAAATAAAAGCGCATTTTGTATTGTCACAGAGTTGTAAGTACTATTTTCTAAAATGTAAACATACTATTAGTATTACACTGGAAACAGAGTTGTTAGTACTATATTTTATGTTTTACTGCCAGCATTCTGTTGGTATTACACTGAATTTAAAAACACCAATAATAATTTGATAAAAGCTGGTCGAATATAACACACATTTGTACTTTTCGCCACGGCTCTCTCGGTTTGGTTGCAATTGAATTTTCAGATTTTCTTTCAAACCGTGTTGAGTTAATTTTCAAAATAGATGTCCTGCCATTCTTTGAATCTATATAGTCCCTCGTTTCCATGGCAATGTAAAGAAGGCAAAAAGTACCATTTTGTTATATATGATCTGTAATATGATGATTAATCTATATTGTATCTTATACTTTGCGAATTTCAAATTGATGGTGTGTGGAAATATAAAGAATAGAGAATGATGGGCAAAAATATAAAGAATAGAGAAAAATAGCTTAAAACATTAACGAATACAGAATTGGAGGACCTCTCATCATGATCTAGACCTTCTTATATCATTTGTACTTCTACTTACTAAGCGTTAACAACAGAGGTAATGAACGCATATTACAATAGATAGCAATGAACAATATTGTTCTCACATTTTTCTTATATTTGTATTAGACTAATTGATATGCCAAAGCTGTTGATTAGCCTCTGCTGTTTGATGGATATATCTTAACAATGGCAGGTGGAAAGTTGCTCGAGAGAGTATGAGGGTCTGGAATGGGGTCCTTCATTTCTTTAATTTTTAAAGTAATTTTTCTCTATTTTTTTTAATTTTTGGCCATTATTCTCGATTCTTCATTCGTTTGGCCTATTTGTCGCTATTCTTTCATTCTTTCGGTCCATTTTTCTGTAGATTTGGTCCATTATTCAATTAACCCCATCCAGACCCCCGAGTATTGTTTTATAGTGGTACTGCCAAAGTTTTGATTATACAGTATTGTTTGATTTATGTTTCTTTAGAATTACAGGTGGAGAACTGTTTGAGCGAGTTATCAACGATGATTTCGTGTTGACAGAAAAAGCATCTGTGATGTTCATGCGCCAGATTTGTGACGGCGTTAGTTTTATGCATTCCAGACACATTCTTCATTTAGATATGAAGGTTAGCTATGACGTAAAACTTTTAAAACTAGTTAAGTTAACATTTATGTAGTTGTATTACAGTCATGGTCTGTTGTTTGAAGGCCAATCTGTGTCTTAAAGGCGGATACATTATTGAATTAGTTTCTACGTTACGTTACCCAAGACATTGGCTACCGAAAAAATGTAAACAATCTGTAGATATGCACATGTCTTCATGTACGACTACATCTCGTTTAAAACTGAACAGTGAAAGTTTATATTTGTACGGAAGCCTTTATGGGCCATGCTAATTTACTTTTTACAATTTGATATAACAAATTATCAATTTGATTTAACAGATTATCAATTTGGTATAACAGATTATAATTATTTGATATAACAATTTATGAATTTGATATAACAAGAAAGAAAATTTGATATGTCAAATTACTTATGCATGGATTGGGGTTATCCCCCTTCTTTATTTGACATAAAGGATATATAAGTGAAACGCTTAAACTGTATAGAGATATAGACCTAAATGTTTTTTGCATTGCTCATGATGTAAAATCCTTATTCTATATATACAACGTTATTAATGTGCTCAGATGATACTCGTGTGGTCTTTTTTAACAGAAATTTGAAAGTCCACAATCATTCAAAATCTCACGCATGTTTCTTTATTTTTAATAAAAAAATCCAAATCAAAAATATATGTTGAAACAAATTTATTTAAGACAAATGCAGTGATGAATTGAAGGATGTTTAATAAATCCAGTCATGTTCCTATTGAAATTATCAAAGCAACATGCCAGGTTTTTTTTAAGAAGGAAAAGCATTTTTTTATCCTTGCATGTTCCTATGTTCCTAAAAACACCAACGTAATCTATGTATTACTGGTAAATTATTAAGCCAGGGATTTCGTTACCACAAATTACTTAAAACCTTTACTAAATTCTTCCACAGATATAAAGATTTGGTTTTGAAGTTTGGTTGTACCTATAGAAAACCTATTTCAAACGGGATTGCACATCCTCATTTTTACGGCAATATTGTTTACCGTGCCCGGAAATTTAGAAACGATCCTGGTAAACTTATTGATCCTTTAAATAAACTTATTAAAGGTTACCAATTCAACACTGTAATTAGATCATTAAATATTGTTTTTATTGGTACTAATATTGATTTTGTTATCAGTAAATTAAAAGCAAACTAAATATTATTGTTATATACATATACACATTCATGGATCTACAATCTGTCGATACCTGTATCTTGGCATTGCACAAGGTCATGTTTTTCTGTGACTGTTTATGACGTCTTTACACTAAATCCATTGGATTTTGGATGTGTACGGATTGATAATTTAGTCGTAGATGCATGATTTTTTTTTATTAGTTGTTAGTGGCTTTGAACTAGCTGTCAGTAACTACTCTCAGATCTGTACTTAGTGTCTTTTTGTTGTTTGGATGTACAACTACCCGGCCACGTCCACTTGTGTTTGTAGTATTTGTATTTTATCCATCTGATGAGTTAAGCCTCTTTCAACTGATTTTTATAGTTCGTTCTTATATTGTACTGTTACACCACTGTCCCAGGTTAGGGGGAGGGTTGGGATCCCGCTAACATGTTTAACCCCGCCACATTTTGTATGTATGTGCCTGTCCCCAGTCAGGAGCCTGTAATTCAGTGGTTGTCGTTTGTTTATGTGTTACATATTTGTTTTTCGTTCATTTTTTGTACATAAATTAGGCCGTTATAGTTTTCTCGTTTGAATTGTTTTACATTGTCATTTCGGGGCCTTTTATAGCTGACTGTGCGGTATGGGCTTTGCTCATTGTTGAAGGCCGTACGGTGACCTATAGTTGTTAATTTCTGTGTCATTTGGTCTCTTGTGGAGAGTTGTCTCATTGGCAATCATACCACATCTTCTTTTTTTTATATATACCAACATCTCAATAGAACTCTTCGTTTCGCTTTGACTTGAAAATATACAATATAAATTGATCAAAAAGTTCCCCCTTTTCTCTTTTATATTTATTCGTTCTAAGGCACCAGGTCCCATGTGCGAAATTGAGACACTAGTCCCGAAAACTGTCTCAAATAAAGGGGAAAGGAGAGGAGGGTTGGTTATAGAAACATTAAACCTGTAAATTAAGTTTTGAAAATGCATTAGATATTTGTCACTGGACGTCAGATAAACAATCAATTAATACACGAAATGCACCAGTTCGGGTTATGCAACTTTTTATTAATCATTATTATGATAAAATCATACTATTTGTAGAGAAATTCACAATTTGTTATATCAAATTAATAATTTGTTATATCAAATAAATAATTTATTATATCAAGTTAATAGTTTGTTATATCAAATTAATAATTTGTTATATCAAATTGATAATCTGTTATATGAAATAAATAATTTGTTATATCAAAATTGAAAATCTGTTATATCAAATTGATAATTTGTTTTATCAAATTGATAATTTGTTATATTAAATTGATAATTTGTTATATCAAATTGATAATTTGTTATATCAAATTGTAAAAAGTGAATTAACATGGCCCTAAAAGGCTTCCGTAATATTTGTGCATTCTTGAATTTAACCTCGATACTAAAAAGTCTATTTTTTTCAATTTCCAATCGTTATCTTTAATTTAGAAAACAATTCGACATTGTTTAAGTACAGACAGCGAAAGGACCCCAAAATGACCTGTGCCCATGACACTGATTTTAATGTTTACGTTTTCTCAATACTTGTATCGAAGCAGGAAACCAGTAGATGACATTTGTATACAGCACAACTGAGGACCTGTTATTTGTACAGTGATTGGTTGATAGGATAATCTAGTAGATTATAATCTTGACCACTCGTTCACACCATAAGAGGGATAATGCCACCATTGTTTTTACCCTATAAGCCCTTGTCAAATTGTCATTTTTTCGAGAAAAAAATTGTGTAGAATTTACATTTGTTTCCAATAAATTTATACTTTTCATGAATAAGTTTTATCCTGTCCAGTACTACAGTGAGAATTCACACAAAGTTTCATTACATACTTTGAAAAATATATATATTTGGCATGTTGTCTAAAATAATGACTTACATTGTAATATGCTCATTGTGAGCCGAATTAATGGAAATTTTTCCTTTTCTTCTTTTGTGATATATGATCCTCGGCAGTCAATGTTTAATTTATTTAAAGGTTGTTTAGAATTAGCCCGATTTTTGAGGGTATGGATGGGGTTTACAGAATAGAGAATAATGGTTAAAAAGTTTAAAGAATAAAGAAAAACGGCCTAAAAAATTAAAGAATACAGAAAGGGCCCCCATCCAGACCCACATTTTGAGCTTGACACATTGTATAGGCACTAGTCTGCTGTTGAAAGTCAAGAAGTGCAAGCTAGCCGTCTTTTTTAATCCTTTTGGGGTGATGGCGGTGGGGGGTGGGGGGTAGGGGGGGTGGGGGGTGGGGGGAGGTGGTGGCAATAGGTCTTAGTAGTTTATCTAGAGTGATCACTACCTTGTCAACACTGGGTTGTTATGAGCTGGAACCTCGCACATGACAATATATCTGTCATGTTTATTGACTAGGATTTTCAAGTTGTCTTGTCGAAGATCGGTATTTATATCTGTGAACCCCGACTTCCTCCATTAACAAGACTGGTCGGTTTGATATAGCCAACAATTAATCAATCGATATAAATTATTGTGTTGTGGTGGTGCATCATTAACGGTTTGCCTACATTTCCGTTTATGCATAGACAAGAAAGGGTTCTTCTTTTAAAAGCAATCAAAAACACTGAAATAAAATAATCCTTAATGCCTAAAATACAATAAAATCGTGCGTGAAAACAGTTTTATAACGTCTCAAATTAGAACTCCTGTCAAAATTAATTCATGTAAGTTTCTAATATCCAAGTTAATATAATTTAAGTATTGTCGTTTCTTTAACTTCCAGCTGAAAGCAATTTGGCAGATAGAAAACATGTGTCATTTTTTCATATCGCATGTATCAAAGCAACCCAAACTTAGAGAAAACAAGCTGTCATTGTTAATTTATCGTGATGGCAATTACCAGACTATCCAATGTTTAAGAAATATCAATTATGAAGAATCAACACTTAAGAAGTGGTAGTAGTTGTCTGTCTACTCATCAGGAAATAGATATCACTTTCTGATTGTACTAATATAAAACATATGGTGTTGATAATGTTTTAATTACTAACGAAGAATGTTAATTATATTGCACTATTTTATCACCTACGTTTATATGCGTTAGGCAATGGAACGAACGTTTTATCTTATACTATTTTATGACCTGCGTTTATATGTGTTAGACAATGGAACGAACGTTCTAACTTGTACTATTTTATGACCTAAGTTTATGCGTAAGGCAATGGAACGAACGTTTTAACTTGTACTATTTTATGACCTACGTTTATATGTGTTAGGCAATGGAACGAACGTTCTAACTTGTACTATTTTATGACCTAAGTTTATATGCGTTAGGCAATGGAACGAACGTTTTAACTTGTACTATTTTATGACCAAAGTTTATATGCGTTAGGCAATGGAACGAACGTGTTATCTTGTACTATTTTATGACCTAAGTTTATATGCGTTAGGCAATGGAACGAACGTTTTATCTTGTACTATTTTATGACCTAAGTTTATGCGTTAGGCAATGGAACGAACGTTTTATCTTGTACTATTTTATGACCTACGTTTATATGTGATAGGCAATGGAACGAACGTTTAAGATACATGTGTGGTTTATTAAACACCTTTGATATTAAAGTGCATGCCTCCTACATAATTATATTAACTCCTACCATTATATTTCTTGTCACTTTCTTGAGTACAAATTGTGCAAGATAACACTAATGTTTTTTTTAGGTTTCTCTAATTGCGGGCCACTATACGTGCCGAGAAGGGTTGGTTGTTGGTCGACTTCCACCTTTGCCGATCACCTCTGACTATTACAACAGCACTAAACATTCGGAATTCAATTCGATCATTTGCAAATCAAAAGTTACATTGTAACTCAATACAATGCAATTACGTGCAACTCCATTAACTGCCACACAAATAAATGTACTGACCGACTTTAGAAACGCAACACTAGATTATTCTTCTTAATTCCCATTTTTAAATATGCAATTTTTGTTGAACAAACGTATGAACAGAAATTTCTTTCGTTACTTCATTGTTTAAAAACAAGTTGTATTGATTGCGTCATATGTAATGTTCAAATCATGTGGTAAACACTGAAACCCTGGTTTTCTCCTTACCAATGGATGTGTCATCGTCGAAAGCAAGACTGCCTCTAACCAACGCCAAAATGATTGTCAGAAAGGTCAATCAATTCTGTTCGGCATGTGTTGGGTCCTGTTTTGAACCGTCTGATTTCGCATTTGTTCCACCCATTACAGTGTGTTTTGGCAATTATGCAGTTGAAACTTTAGGGCTCTAAAATTTTTTCTGCAGTCGATTCTTTCGAATTTCAGTTTATGGGAAACATTTATGGCATGAATCTGTGTGCAATGGCATTCGGCAATTCGATTTGCAGTTGACGTTGCAGCCGTAAACATGTCACGCAAATGACGTTGCGTAATCAAATTCCATTGACGTTGCATTGTCAAGTGCTACATGTTGATCTGGTCATTGATGGTCATCAACAAATCACATCTGCCTGTATCGTTGTCGGAAGGACCGTAAGACAAGTTTTTGACGTTAAATTGTCTGGTTGGAGCACGTTCACGTTTTCCTGTTTGCAATATTCTTATGGGCTGATTCACTTTTTTATTCCTCAGTCTTGGTAATATGGAGATGCAAAATTTTTAAACTGATTTAAGTGTGGCCATGGATTGAAAAAACTGTTTCACGAAGAAAAAAAAAATGAAAAATCTGTTATGGGTTCCAAATTTCGCTTTAAGAAATTCGTGCGACTTCAATAATCCGGTATGATTATAACAACAGGTTAGTCAGATGTTGTTTTTTTCTAAAGAGAAAGAAGTATGATAAGCATGAATAGTAGTTGTATGAGGATCAAATATGATTTGGTAAAAAAAAATCATGTTGCGTTTTTAAAGTCAGTCAGTGGGACAAAGATGCTCGCGCTTGTAAATATTCAAGAAGAATGTGTTAATGGGACAAAGATGATTACGCTTGTAAATATACAAGAAGAATGTGTCCATGGGACAAAGATGCTTACGCTTGTTAATATACAAGAAGAATGTGTCCATGGGACAAAGATGCTTACGCTTGTAAATATACAAGAAGAATGTGTCCATGGGACAAAGATGCTTACGCTTGTAAATATTCAAGAAGAATGTGTCCATGGGACAAAGATGCTTACGCTTGTAAATATTCAAGAAGAATGTGTCCATGGGACAAAGATGCCTACGCTTGTAAATATACAAGAAGAAAGTGTCCATGGGACAAAGATGATTACGCTTGTTAATATACAAGAAGAATGTGTCCATGGGACAAAGATGCTTACGCTTGTTAATATACAAGAAGAATGTGTCCATTGGACAAAGATGCTTACGCTTGTAAATATTCAAGAAGAATGTGTCCATGGGACAAAGATGCTCACGCTTGTAAATATTCAAGAAGAATGTGTCCATGGGACAAAGATGCTCGCGCTTGTAAATATTCAAGAAGAATGTGTCCATGGAACAAAGATGCTCACGCTTGTAAATATACAAGAAGAATGTGTCCATGGGATAAAGATGCTTACGCTTGTTAATATACAAGAAGCATGTTCCATGGGACAAAGATGCTTACGCTTGTTAATATACACGAAGCAATGTACTAATACAAACCTATGGACGTTTTTTTTTCTTTGCAACTGAATGATACAGCAAATTTGGCAATTCAAGATCGGCGAAAGTGATGCCACCCAAATTCGAACTTGATCTGTGTGTGGTGGTAATAAGCATTGTGAATACGTTTCATGACATTTGGTCAAAAGTAAACTGAAGTTAGAGTGCGCGGAAACGGCAAATTAGGATTTTTTTCCATTTATAAAGAGACATAACTCGAAAACAGTGAAAATGACGCCACCCAATTCCGAACTTTGATCTGTATTTGGTGGTAAAAATCATTGTGTATAAGTCTTATAACTTTTGGTTGAGGCAAACTAAAGTTAGAGAACTGAAACCAGTTACGGGACGTTTGGATTTACGAAACGGACAAGGGTAAACCTTAATGTCCATTCGCCTAGCGACGAGGGCATACAAATGTAGAAACACAAATCCAAACCCAAAAGACAACTTTCTCGATTTCAATTACTAGATATAAGAAGATGTGGTATGAGTGCCAATGAGACAACTCTCCATCCAAGTCAAAATCTATAAAAGTAAACCATTATAGGTCAAAGTACGGTCTTCAACATTGAGCCTTGGCTCACCCCGAACAGCAAGCTATAAAGGGCCCCAAAAATTACTAGTGTAAAACCATTCAAACGGGAAAACCAACTGTCTAATCTATATAAAAAAAACGAGAAACGAAAACCGCTTATGGACCACATCAACAAACGACAACTACTAAACATCAGATTCCTGTTTACTAACACTTTCGTTGAAAGCTGCAAACATTTCACAAGGATGTAAAATGTCTTATACTCAGGTTGAATGAAAAAGTTGGCTGATTCTACCATTACCTACAAAAAAATGTTGACATTGAAAGATTTTTTCCCGAACGAAGGCCTTGCTTTCAAAGGCATTCACCTCTACCTGTTTCCGTGTATGGTATGATATGAAGTTGATATCCAATCCAAAGAGAAACGGACACCACATTTCCCTTTTTTAAATAGAACATAATGAAAAAAATAACTTTGAATTCACATCAACTACCGTGGAATGTTTTGATTTTGTATTCATATTTCATTTCAGCCTGAAAACATTCTTTGTTTATCAAGACAAGGGAACAGAATAAAAATTATAGATTTTGGATTGGCACGGAAGTACAATCCGAAAAGCGAATTGAAAATTCTGTTTGGTACTCCTGAGTTCATGGCTCCAGAAGTTGTAAACTTTGACCCTGTTTACCCAGCAACGGATATGTGGAGTATTGGTGTGATATGTTACATATTGTAAGTTTAAGATAAAGTGTTCGCTGGAAAATAATAAAATTATCAGGAAAAACTAAGTGCTATACAGTTATGAAAGCCGAAGTAAGATTAATATACATAAAATTGTATTAAGAGGGCATGTAAAATATCAAATATCATCCGACTACAGCTTTTTCCGACATTTAAAACTTTGGAAAAAAAAAAAACATTTTATGAATTATTAAAGACCAACGCTTAGGTCTAACAGTCCCCAAGCAACGATATTAAAACAGTTGTTTCTACCTATAGATTCGTTTTCGTCAGCAAATAGGAAACTATACTTCATAACAAAATAGAGGCTTACCGATGTGTTCGATTAAGTTAAACCTGAAAGTTTTTGGAAGCAAGGAAAACCAAAATGTTTAAACTAAAACTAGACCGAAGTTTTGGCCTAAAACTGAAAAAAAAACCTTTTACTCTTTAAATCATTCATGTATCAAGCCATTATCATTTTATACCATTATCTGACATCAAAATGTATTAAAACACGTAGTATCAAACTGAAAGTACAAAAACGTGTACTTTACACCGATAATGCATTTAAACGATTTTGATAAAAAAAGAAAAATGTAAATTCCTAACATTCCGCTACAACATAATATTTTGTACATTTTGAACTCATTATTTGTAAATTAATATCATAAAAGACATACCCTAATTTATTTGACTACAATTATGTTATTTATTTGCTAAACAAATTTAACGACTAAAACAGAGATGTGAATACATGTAGATCATATGATGTAAAAAGGTCTTTTCAAACCGGCACTAGGATGCGTCTTGAACTGGCGGTGATGTGTGTACTTTTGTTCCGTGTTGAAGGTACTATTGTAACTACTGCACTAAATATTTCATCTTATTTAAACCCGTTCCACATACTCTCTAGTCTGCGAAACATTCACATTTGTGACGGGCATGCAGGGATCGATAATTTGGTCTAAATCCATCTTATCTTTTTGCCAAAATTTAATGTCAAAATCTAGAAATCGTTTAATGAGAAAATTTACAATCGATTGAAAATGGCACTTATCCACTTTTGTCGAGCATTTCATTTATCAATTTAATTTACCGAAAGTTAGAATTAATTTAAAAAATTTTTTTTTCTATTTCAATCATCTAATCTTAACTGACATTTCAATAACACATATGTAAGCATTGATAGCTTATCCTTTTCAACAGAAATAAAGAGTTTTAATTCAATTAGAATGTCTATACCTAGGTTTTAAAATCTGAAAATAAAAGTAATTATATTGAAGGAATTTTGAACCTGCACACGAACATGGAATTATAAATTCGTTACTCATTTGCATTTTGATCATGGCATCTCATTCCATCCAGACGTGGATTCGTATCTATAATACATCTCGTATTTATACATCCGGTATTTATACATTCCGTATCAATACATCCCGTATTTATACTTCCCGTATTTATACATTCCGTATTTAAACAACTAACAGACCCAAAAGGACGGACCACTAGCATGCATGTAAGATTTACTGCCGGACAAGAGAAGTCCGGATAACCACAATTTTACCCAATGCAAGTCGCCCTTGAAATGACGAAACTTAAAAAGGTATGAATTTTAGCAGCAATAAAAGAATATCATTTTTTTTTTCTGTCACGTGTTTTAGATTATCAGGATTATCTCCCTTCCAAGGAACAACAGAACCAGAAACGCTGTGTAATATAACGACAGCGAAATGGGACTTTAGTGCAGAAGAGTTCGAGTGTATATCAAGCGATGCTAAAGATTTTATATCAAACCTTTTAGTGAAAGACCCAAGGTATGCAATTATATTTTATGTTTATGACAAGATTGAAATATACTATTGAATGTTCCATATGTGTGAACCATAAAACTGAGGCATCGACCATTCATCTTTTAAAAGGGGGAGCATGTTTGTTTTCCTCTCAGATCTTTGATAAAAAACAAACAATTACATACAGAAACAAGACTGTAAAAAAAAAACCAAAAAAAAAAACACGTTATTTTTATTCTTTATTGATACTTATTTTCAATCGATATAAACTATTTTGTCACTGCTGTTTTATTTCTAATTCAACAATGTATATAAAACCATGCAACCCACAAATTATGAAATGTCGGTGCCTTATTATTATTGTAAATTTTGAAATATGAATTCAAAAAGAATGTTTTCCTTAATTGTATATACTTGAACTCAAGACTACACATATAATTGATAAGGAATATAAGTTTTATTGTCTTCAAAACAACTATCACATATGAATTCGAACTACGGTAACATCATGTTGAGTGCCAGTATGGATGAATCAAGATGTATAGTTTAAAATCTGTGTATTTGTATAAACAATTGTTCATGAATGTCAAGATACCTTATATTTCTTTAAAAAATAAAAATATACTAACGAAGTCAAAGTCATAGGTTGAAGAAGGAGAAATAACGACATGCATATGTCCAAAAGAAAAAAAAGGGCAGCATTATAATTACACAAGAATTCGCAAAACGCTTTAAAAGAGAGGCGAAAGATACCAAAGGGATTCAAACTCATAAGTCGAAAATAAACTGACAACGTCATGGCTAAAAATGAAAAAGACCAACAGACAACTAAAACCAGTTGTTGGCATGATACGGGTTATGTTCTTCTCATATATTTTATGATGGTATGATACTAAACCCCTAACGGGAGGGATTATACCTGATTTTAATATGATGAAGACATAATCTTTCAATCAGTTTAATTGAGGTCTGGAGCTAGCATGTCAGTAATTGCTAGTAGTCCTTTGTTAAATTATGTATCATTGTCATTTTGCTTAGTTTATTTTGTTACCTATTCTGACATCGGACTCGGACTTCTTTTAAACTGAGTTTTACCGTGCGTATTTCTATGTGTTTCTTTATTCTACATTGGCTAGAGGTATAGGGGGAGGGTTGAGATCTCACTTGTATTTTTTTTTTAATTTTAGTTCCTTTGTATGTTTTGGAGTTTAGTGTGACGTCCTTTTTCACTGAACCAGTACACAATTTTATTTAGGGGCCAGCTGAGGACCACCTCCGGGTGCGGGATTTTCTCGCTGCGTTGAAGACCCATTGGTGGCCTTCGGCTGTTATCTGCTCTTTGGACGGGTTGTTGTCTCTTTGACATATTCCTCATTTCCATTCTCAGTTTTAAACAATAGTACACAAAACACAACATAGAAAACTAAAGACTGAGCAACACGAACCCCACCAAAAACTAAGTCTAAATAAAATGGTTACCAAGACCGGGTAAGAACACAAGTGCTACGGAAGGTTAAACAGTTCCCGTGGTGTGGTAGTAAACGTATAGATACGAGATCTTATATTTTGTACCAATAGAAAATTATACGAACTAGTTTCCTCTTCAAATTAATTACATACAGCCCCTTACATTGATTGTATACAGTCCCTTACATTGATTGTATACAGCCCCTTATATTAATTGTATACAGCACCATACATTGATTGTTTACAACGCCTTACATTGATTGTATACAGCCCCTTACATTACTTGTATACAGTTCCTTATACTAATTGTCTACATCCCCTTACATTGATTGTATACAGACCCTTACATTGATTGTATACAGCCCCTTACATTGATTGTATACATACCCTTACATTGATTGTATACAACGCCTTACATTAATTGTATACAGACCCTTACATTGATTGTCTACAGCCCCCTTACATTTATTGTATACAGCCCCTTACATTGATTGTATACAGCCCTTAACATTGATTGTGTACAGCCCCTTACATTGATTGTATACAGCCCCTTACATTGATTGCATACATCCCCTTACATTGATTGTATACAGCCCCTTACATTGATTGTATACATCCCCTTACATTGATTGTCTACATCTTCTTACATTGATTGTATACAGCGCCTTACATTGATAGTGTACAAACCCTTACATTGATTGTCTACAGACCCTTACATTGATTGTATACAGCCCCTTACATTGATTATATACATCCCCTTACATTGATTGTATACTGCGCCTTACATTGATTGTATACAGACCCTTACATTGATTGTCTACATCCCCTTACATTGATTGTCTACATCCCCTTACATTGATTGTATACAGTGCCTTACATTGATTGTATACAGACCCTAGCATTGATTGTATACAGACCCTTACATTGATTGTATACAGACCCTTCCATTGATTGTATACAGCCCATTACATTGATTGTGTACAGCCCCTTACATTGATTGTCTACAGACCCTTACATTGATTGTATACAGACCCTTACATTGATTGTATACAGCGCCTTACATTGAATTTGTACAGCCCTTACATTGATTGTAAACATCCCCTTACATTGATTGTATACAGACCCTCACATGTACATTGATTGTATACATCCCCTTACGTTGATTGTATACAGCCCCTTACATTGATTGTATACAGACCCTTACATTGATTGTCTACAGAGCCTTACGTTGATTGTATACAGCCCTGTACATTGATTGTATACATCCCCTTACATTGATTATAAACATCTCCTTACATTGATTGTATACAGCCCCTTACATTGATTGTATACATCTCCTTACATTGATTGTAAACACCCCCTTACATTGATTTTGTACAGCCCCTTAAAATGATTGTATACAGACCCTTACATTTATTGTATATAGACCCTTACATTGATTGTCTACAGCCCCTTACATTGATTTTGTACAGCCCCTTACATTGATTGTAAACATTCCCTAACATTGATTGTATACATACCCTCACATGTACATTGATTGTATACATCCCCTTACGTTGATTGTATACAGCCCGTTACGTTGATGGTATACAGCCCCCTTACATTGATTGTGTACAGCCCCTTACATTGATTGTAAACATCCCCTTACATTGATTGTATACAGACCCTCACATGTACATTGATTGTATACATCCCCTTACGTTGATTGTATACAGCCCCTTACATTGATTGTATACAGACCCTTACATTGATTGTCTACAGAGCCTTACGTTGATTGTATACAGACTCTTACATTGATTGTCTACAGACCCTTACATTGATTGTATAAACCCCTTACGTTGATTGTATACAGCCCCTTACATTGATTGTATACAGCTCCTTACATTGATTGTAAACATCCCCTTACATTGATTGTCTACAGCCCCTTACTTTGATTGTCTACAGATCCTTACATTGATTGTCTACAGACCCTTACATTAATTGTATACAGCGCCTTACATTGAATTTGTACAGCCCCTTACATTGATTGTATTCATCCCCTTATATTAATTGTAAACATCCCCTTGCATTGATTGTGTACAGACCCATACACTGATTGTGTACAAATCCTTACATTGATTGTATACAGACCCTTACATTGATTGTATACAGCCCCTTACATTGATTTTGTACAGCCCGTTACATTGATTGTATACAGACCCTTACATTGATTGTGTACTGCGCCTTACATTGATTGTATACAGACCCTTACATTGATTGTATACAGCCCCTTACATTGATTGTATACAGACCCTTACGTTGATTGTATACAGCCCCCTTACATTGATTGTGTACAGCCCCTTACATTGATTGAAAACATTCCCTTACATTGACTGTATACAGACCCTCATATGTACATTGATTGTATACATCCCCTTACGTTGATTGTATACAGCCCCTTACATTGATTGTATACAGACCCTTACATTGATTGTATACAGCCCGTTACGTTGATTGTATACAGCCCCCTTACATTGATTGTGTACAGCCCCTTACATTGATTGTAAACATCCCCTTACATTGATTGTATACAGACCCTCACATGTACATTGATTGTATACATCCCCTTACGTTGATTGTATACAGCACCTTACATTGATTGTATACAGACCCTTACATTGATTGTCTACAGAGCCTTACGTTGATTGTATACAGACCCTTACATTGATTGTCTACAGACCCTTACATGGATTGTATAAACCCCTTACGTTGATTGTATACAGCCCCTTATATTGATTGTATACAGCTCCTTACATTGATTGTGTACCGCCACTTACATTGATTGTATACAGCCCCTTACATTGATTGTATAAACCCCTTACGTTGATTGTATACAGCCCCTTACATTGATTGTATACACCTCCTTACATTGATTGTGTACATCGCCTTACATTGATTGTATACAGCCTCTTACATTGATTGTATACAGCCCCTTACATTGATGGTATACAGTTCCTTACATTGATTGTAGACAGCCCCTTACATTGATTGTATACAGCCCCTTACATTGATTGTAAACATCCCCTTACATTGATTGTCTACAGACCCTTACATTGATTGTATACAGCCCCTTACATTGATTGTGTACAGCCCCTTACATTGATTGTGTATAGACCCTTACATTGATTGTATACAGCCCCTTACATTGATTGTATACAACCCCTTACATTGATTGTATACAGCCCCTTACATTGATTGTATACATTCCCTTACATTGATTGTATACAGCCCCTTACATTGATTGTATACAGACCATTACATTGATTGTATACAGCCCCTTACGTTGATTGTATACAGAACCTTACATTGATTGTGTACAGACCCTTACATTGATTGTGTACAGCCCCTTACATTGATTGTGTACAGGCTCTTACATTGATTGTGTACAGCCCCTTACATTGATTGTGTACAGACCCTTACATTGATTGTGTACAGCCCCCCTACATTAATTGTGTACAGACCCTTACATTGATTATGTTTAGACCTTTACATTGATTGTGTACACAATAACTTTTGAAACAAATACAAATAAACTGAGAATCTGTCCATGGGACACAGATAATGCCCCCGGTTATTATTAGCATACTCATCATATTTGGAAAATTTGTTTTAATTGAAAACTCTTTAAAAATGAAGTCGGATTTGTTGATCAGACATCGTCAGGTAATTGGAAAACAGTCATATTGAGAGTAAAATTTATCTCATTAAATTTCTTATCGTTTTAACAATTACAAACGCAAATTCAGTTTTAACGCTACGTGTAATGTGTATCAAAACAAAACATAAAAAAAAAACAATCAGAAGTAATATTATCAATTCTTCAAAAAAGGCGACGTGTTTATCAGATCTTTAATTCTTCAAGTGATTACATGCAGTGTACTTATTTATTTATCTTCCATATCTTGTTTACTTATATCAATACATTTCGCATGATTAATGACATTGAAGTTACAAGGTAAATAAGTAATGTTCTTGTTAAGACAAAGAACTTATAATTTCCTCCGGCGCCTGTTGAATCAAAATGAAAAAATAATACAAATTAACTTATGTTTCATAACTTATTTATTTGCAAATATTTGTTATCGTGTTTTTTTTCTGTTTATCAACTTAATGTGAGAAATTTTAGAACCAAAGATGTTATGTATATAAAAATAAGGAGATGAGGTATGATTGCTAATGAGACAACTATCCAGCAAAGTTCAAATAAAGTGGATGTTAGCAATTATAGGCAACCCGAAACCGTACGGCCTTCAACAATGGGAAAACCCCATACCGTATAGTCGGCTATAAAAGGTCCCGACATGAAAATTATATAACAATTCAATTGAGAAAAACTAACGGCCAAATTTATAACAAAAAACAAAACCAACGACAACCACTGAACTACAGGCTCTTGACTTGGGACAGGCACATAAAGAATGTGGCGGGGTTAAACATGTTTGCACTGAAAGATGCATCAAAACAACTTAGTAACCAGTTGCATATGTTAAACACGGCTGGTTTATTGTTTATAGGGCGATACGTTGATTGATTGTTTGTTAGTGTTTACCGCCTCTTTCAGCACTCTGAGGTGGTTAGTTTTTATTCGCGGAGGAACCACCGATCTTCGGCAGGAAAAACTGGCAATCCTAGTCATATATGGTCGGAGTCGAACGCACCTGCCGCGAGCTGTAGGATGATACAATATTGTGAGACAACACACAATAGAATAAAAAGACAGAAAAAAAGACAGATATGTTAACACTAGAACGTATGAATTTGGCAAAACAATTTGTATTATACAGTGAATTTATACATGTATATAATTAAGAACCATAATTATCAAATTTTATACTTTCTTGCAGTAAAAGAATGACTTGTCGGGAGTGCCTTGATCATAAATGGTTGCGGGTTAGTATTTTCACTTTCTTGGCTTCAGAGATAACATGTTTGACATCGTAGTCATGATTGCTTTATTTGGGGATTGTTTTTTTTGTGTGTGTTAGTCTGTAATCATGACGTATAATGTATTCAAGCTTTCGTACGCGTCAGAATAAAGAATTAAATTTGACAAAAAGAATATTTTCAGGTGAAATATGTGAGTGGTTTTTAGTTGTTATTATTCAAGAAAGCACAAATCTCCGTTGCCAAGGGGGAAAATTAGTCTGTAGTGAACTTTGAAGGCCAACTTTGGCCAAACGAACAGCAAATCGAAATGACGCAATTTTGTAACTCATTGCAGAAAGGACAACAAAATTAACACATATTTGTTCTCATTTATTCATATCACACTCCATTCATTGTGATACAAGCAATATCTCGTCTTGCGGAAAACAGATACCAGAAAACGCCCATAAGATAACTTAATTTTCATTGAACGTACAATAAATCTTCTCATTACCCTACGGCGAATTAATGTCCAGTCGGCAATATTGGATCATTTTCAGGGCGAGAATATGTTGATGTGATATGAATATGCACTTGCTATAAACTAGTCAGACACCTTAGCTGATCCGGGTACTTCACACGCTAATGCTTTGTAAGTTTGCATTTATATTTATTTATTTATTTATTCATTTATTTATATTGAAAATTTCCAAATATGAGCCGCTTCCATTTATATTGGAGTACATTGATTTTCGCTATTACACCTAGATAACCGTGTATATATGGAAAATAAAAAGGTTTAAAGTTTATGGTTTAAACCAGGCACCCACAAATGTACGACTACTGATATACCTGTTATTGATGCATGGTCGTGATACATGTAAAAATGAAAAAGAAATTGCGGTTCTAAACATCCTACTAACATATAAGTTAACTTTTGGAACGATACTTCCATGATCAACTTGTCAACTGATCAACTATCTACTTATATAAATAAGGGGAAAGTGTCAGTGCCACATTTACATAAATACCAATGGTACCATGTCAAGAAAGTCATTATCTTCAGGAATTTATTGTGCATTTTGCTGTGTTAGAAATAAGATGATGTGGTATGATTGCCAATGAGACAACTTTCCACAAGAGACCAAATGACACAGAAATTAACAACTATAGGTCACCGTACGGCAATGAGTAAAACCCATACCGCATAGTCAGCTACATACGCCGTTTGTTTATTCCACATTGGCTAGAGGTATAGATCATACAAAACATGTGTTACCCTGCCGCATTTTTGTGCCTGTCCCAAGTCAGGAATCTTTTTAGTCTTGTATGTTTTTTTTTGTTTTTCTTTTGGTTCATTTATATGTTTTGAGTTTAGTGTGGCGTCCATTTTTGCTAAAAGATACATTATTGTTAGGGGCCAGCTGAAGCCCGCCTACGGGTGCGGGATTTTCTCGCTGTGTTGAAGACCCATTGGTGGCCTTGGGCTGTTTTCTGCTTTTTGGTCGAGTTGTTGTCTCTTTGACACATCCCCCGTTTCTATTCTCAATTTTATTAAACTAAACCTTTTACCTAATAGAAGTTAAGGTCAGACGGACTTGTTTTAGTCTGTTCTTAAGTGATCACTGTGATATTTCAGAAACAGATTCAAAGGGCCACTAAAGCTGTACAGAGGACCCTGTCTACTAAACGTTTAAGAAAGTTTGTTTACCGCAGAAAATGGCAGGTAATAATTTATGGCATCTTGGTCTTGCTATTCAACAAGACATTTGGAAAAAAAAAAAAAAAAAATGATTTTTTGAATACTAGTATCATTTTTTTTTTATTTGTAAAACAAACCATTACATTGTACATTGACCGACCGTAAAGGTACCATTCAACTTCTTAAATGAATCTATTAAGTCTATTTTGTAAACATCTAACAAAGTGTTTCGAAATTTTATTTGCAATTTTTTCCTGTGATTATCCAAAACTACCAATTTCTTCACTAATTTCAGCTCAATTCGCTGACGTAAAATAGAATTCAACAAAAAAAATAAAATGGAAAAAACGGATCCACAAATGCAATAAAATTCAAGAAGGAAACAGTTTTTGTCAAAAAGGAATGTCAGACATTCTTGGAATCTTACATTTACTTAAGCGATCATTTGACTGAATAGTCATTAGTTCACTTACTCCAATCTTAATTGACAAGAATTGTCAGTTTTCCTATCGAATGTCGGTGGTTTTCTCCGAGCACTCCGGCTTCCTCCACCAATAAAAACTGGCCGCCACGAAAAAGCCCAAATGTGGCGCTTAAAAGTGGCGTTAAAACACCAAAAAATCAATCAATCAATCATTCGTTCACTTTTAGAGAATTTACATCGAAAATTCGCGCCATATTGTCTTACTTTTACGTTTGCTGCTCAGTGTGAAACAAATCGTATTGTCTCCCTTTGAACATGATTGTGACTGTTATATTAAACAATGTTCTTGAATACCAATGCTACTGTACCAGATGAGCATTTGGACAGTTAGGGTAATTTCAGTGATGCTTGTGACCAATATATTTTAAAGTCCGAAACCTAATACAAACGTTGACGAGGTGACAAAACTAAAAGTGACCAAATTAAAGCCAAACCTGGATAAGGAACCAAACTTTAAAATACAAATGTTTAGATAAATATAGATTCTACCACTGCATCGAGTGTGATACGATACTTATCCACTCGACACAGTTAAGGTTTCCAATTTAAAACGCGAGGCTCGCCGAGCGTTTTAAATATTTAAAATTTAACTGTCGAGAGTGGATAAATATCGTATTACACGAGATTTGGTGGTGGAATCTGTTTCTCTAATGAATTTCAAACAATACGCAGGCAAATTTATTCCTTCTTTTCGAATGATCTGCAAAAAGATGTGTTCTTTCTATGTGACGTCATCAGGCATGGTCGCCTTTTTTCATGCCGTCACAATAGGAAATTCAGAGGAAAGCAAGAAAATTAGACGTCATAATCAGATTTTAACCAATGAAGAACTGAGATCAAACGAACCACACGTTGATTAAATTTTTTTTATACAATGGGTGCAGAAATGGATAAATTGACGAAGAATTAGAGAAACAAGAATACGATTTTAAAACCAGCGTAAGCTACGATTATATTTTCTAGTATGTAGAATACATTGAAGACCCATATGTGGCCTTCGGCTGTTGTCTGCTCTTTTGTCGAGTTGTTGTCTCTTTGACATATTCCCCATTTCCATTCTCAATTTTATTACTTATTGATTGGTTGATTGATTGATATTGATTGATGTTTCTGCTCTTTGGTCGGGTAGTTGTCTCTTTGACACATTCCCCATTTCCATTCTCAATGTTTTACTAGAATAATGAGTTAACTTGCGTGGTTTAATTTTTAATTATTCAATTAACGTGAAAAATGCATCAGTTTTGTAATGAAAGGGGAATAATTATAAGCATAATCCCGATAAAATTAACACTATTTTTTCAAGAAGGTACTATTAAATTCGATATATTAAAAGCTATGAAAAAATATTGGGAAGATGTAAGTTCGTTAAACACAGTAACAAATCATATTAGCCTTATGGTCTTATAAGATAAGACTAATCTCAGCCCTTGGTTTGCATGAGAAAGAATTCCTCATAAAACAATTGATTGGTTGATTGATTGATGTTTGCTTTACGTCCAGTGGCAAATATTTCCAGCATGTTCACGACGAGACAAAATTAAAAAAATTAATAAAACAGGTATGGGTTCTGTAAGGTATTAACGGCGGGAAATGTGGACTGCCTCTTGAAAATGAGGGCATATTGGACAGGGACCGAAAATTTGCCTTTCACCAGCCCACCTACGGATCCTCAGACAATTGTTACAATGGTTCGTAAGCGCGAAGAGGGCGTGGTACTCTCTTTTCACGAGGCATCAGAATAAACGTCCACTTTTCGACCGGACATGGGTGCCTATTTATACATCCCACATAGCCACACGGACATCTTACTTTGGCAAGAGTTTTGCTACCGATCAGAAGACCAAGGTGGCCATAATTCTTAACTCGGGTCACCCTTATGGTTCATAAAGTCAACCGCAGAAGGCCATTCAAATATAGGGTTGAAGACCTTTTTCTGATGACAAAACAGTTTTTAAATACATTTTGTTGTAATTAGGAAAAATGCTGTTTCTTTTAATTTCTTTTCCCTCCAAGTCTGTATGGCTTTACAGTGCATCATAATTACTTTATTTTATACTTTAATTTCGGAGAAAGACAAAACAGTATTATCCAAATAATTTTGAACTACACAGTTTATGCTATCGAATTCCATCAGGGCGTATAAATCGTAAAAATAGTTATGAACTTATTTCATGCAATTTATGAAAAATCTTTTTATGCATTGAAAAAACAAAGGTTGAACCAGTTAGAAGACAGCATTATATTTTTGTTCTGGCCACTTCGTAATATTTTTGTAATGTTTTAAGATGGCCATTAATGTCTATTTTTACCTTTGTTTACGCGCTGAATTGTCAGACAGTTTGATTTAATATCTTTTTCATGCTTCTCAGGAGAAATCAGAGAGTGATAATGATGACAATTTACATTGCTATAAACTTCTATTCAATTTTCTTTTTAGAGAGCTGTCAATGCAATGCTTGCGTTGAAAAGAATGGGTGTAGACTTAGTCTGATTGATTGAGACATCGTTCATAATACTGTAAGCATAATTCAACCTTTTTTCATTTTCGACCTTAGAGTGTCCTTGAATTAAAAGATGATGTTTTCACTTGTCAGTGTCTACAGCCTTCATTTTGTTTATCTTACTAGATATGTACGCGTCTTTATTATAATAAAGAAGACGCGGGGTTTACGTCAATGAAAAGAGCCAGATTACGTCTGACTCAATGAAAAGTGCCAGTTTGCGTTATTGAAACGTGGCAATATAATTACCTAACAGCGCCATAAACCCCAAAAGACATCAAGATATCAACATTCGATTTTCCAATAAAGGACAAGCTTCCATGTCATATTTTTAATTGTAAGTTATAAATTCGAAACAAATTTGGATTGAAATTTAAGATTTGCCAAAAAGATTTAGCCTAGGATCCTCACTCACTGCAACAAACTTACCGACTTGAAGAGGAGATTTGGCCTGAACCCCAGGCTAGTAAACTTTAGGCTTGCAACATACGGGTATCTGAGTTTTTTTTAAATTCGATGATAGATACGACACCAAGATTTAACAAAAACAAACTTATCAAACCTTATAAGGCCTTTATTCTTAAGCAACTTTGGAGATGTAATGTCGAGTTTACACGTCGATTAAGTCACGTTAAAGTAACCTTTAATTCCAAGTAAATGGAATGATGCCTATAATAGCATCAATTTGTACGGCAGGCTAGTTTATTATTTTGTTGTTTATAGTTTTTGTATGTTGTGTTTTTCTTCCAATCTGGATTGATTGTTTTACAAATTTTATTACAAGCGAAAAATACATGAAGCAAAAAAAAAAAAAAAAAAAATAATGGCAAAATATTAACACGTTGTGAAGTCATGATTATTCCTTTGTAAACATGATTTCTTTTGTTTTATTTTTTTCAGTATTATTTAAATACAGGAAGTGGACACATATTTCACATATACCATGTGATATGCACGTGAAAAGTGTATCCGACATCTACGACGTACACGGTATACTGAACACTATAATTATTTGAATGTGAATCTGTGAAAAAGGGACCTTTAATTGGACTGATTGTGACTGGAAATATATCGATGTGTTGTGATGTATAAAAGATTTTGAAATAAATATTAATGCAAAAACGTTCAAAGGTAGTTGCATTATCTCTATACTTTAGTTCCATGATCGTCTGTTTTACCGTGTCCACTTTCATTTTACACAGAAACGTCACGTGATTACACCAGGAATCTTTGCAGTGTCGGGATCAGTACCGGATCGTCTGCACGAAAACATGGACGATTTCACCTTATGGTAGGTTTTCACCAGGGCGAAGAAGTCAAACTAGAATAGCGTGGTCGACTTTTTAGGTGGAAATCTAAATTTAAATCATAAAATTTGCATAATTCGCCTGTGTAAAAATCTAGGCATGTGCATAGAAAAATGTCACGTGATACGATTTTTTCAATCTCCACATTGAAACATCAACTATCTTCTATTGTTTAGTTTTGTCTCTTCTTCACAGAGCTACGAGATTTGAGTCCTTCTTATTAGAGGGTTTCCAAAACAATTGAAGAGCTATATAATTGACTTCTCTCATTTTAAAATTAACAAATTAAAGTATATACAATGCCTGTACCAAGTCAGAAATATGACAGTTGTTTTTCATTCGTTTGATGTGTTTGAGCTTTTGATTTTGCCATTTATTAAGGGACTTTCCCTTTTGAATTTTCCTTGGAGTTCGGTATTTTTGTTATTTTTAGGAAATATATACTATAATAAATGTAGGGGATCCTGCAGACCGCCAAAGGGATCCTGCAGACCGTCCAGGGGATCCTGTAGAACGCCCTGTAGTATATACATGAAAAACAAATAACAGTCGATCCTATAGAACGTCCTATTGTAGATATATAATGTTCAGACATCAGGGGATCCTGTAGAACGCCCTATAGTATATACAGACCTTCTAAAATTCAAACTGACCACACGCACGATACACGCACGCACGATACACGCACGGTGAATGCACGATACACGCACGGTGAATGCACGATACACGATACACGCACGATGAGCGATGAGCGTTACACGGAGGATTAACGAAAAATGAATGATGAATGATGAACGCACGATACACGCACGATGCACGATGAATGATGAACACACGATACACGCACGATACACGCACGGTGAATGATTCATTGACGAATGAACGATAAGCGCTTAATACACGGTTCTCAAAGCCATTTTATTTGGAATTGCATTTAAAATTGATGTATGATAATGAAAATTTATAAGGGTATACAAATTTTAGATATCTCGCTTTCTGTGTTGATTGGTCGACAGTTTTACTAAATACTCCATGTATTAAATAAATTAATTGTAGTATAGTATTTCCAATATCAATGAGTGTTGTCAAATTATAAAACTCATCGATTTTATAATTCTACTTAATATAAATAATTTATAAATTGCTACGTTTTAAAGAGTGGCGATTCCAGCCATTTTTAAAAAGAGTGTTCTCAAGCCAGGATAAAAGGGGTGGTTTTAACCATATGTCCCCATTCAAATGCATTGACCCCCCCCCCTTCTTTTTATCTGTCTAAATTTGTAACCTTAACTAATTAATTATCATATGTTTACCTTCCGAAATTTAGGAAATATTTGTATGTTTCGAAGTTTAGTATGATGTCCATTATCACTGAACTAAAATTCATTTTTGTTTAGGGACCAGCTGAAAAACGCCTTCGGTGCGGGATTTTCTACCCATTGGTGGCCTTCGACTGTTTTCTGCCTGTACGTCTAAACACTGCTAAGGACTTATAATATGCCACTAAGAACTAGAAAGGACGTGTTACTTGTACTCTATTTTCATACTATGGTAGAGATAGATAGATTTTTATTACATAAATTCCAATTTTTAAAGAAAAAGAATCACCATTAAATGAGTAGTTGAACAATATTTGGAACGTGCCGGTTTTTCCTTGATATTGCCGAAAATCAGTGATCCGACTGACACGAGCGAACTTACATAACAACTGATTAAACAATCATAATCTCTTTTTTTTTACTGAATTTACAATGTTCCTTATATTATCAGAATCGTATGAGTTAATTTAGAGCAAAATATATAATTTGTCAGAAAAATCTGATTCGTACAAATTAATAAGAAATAGCTAAGAAAATGAAATTTACCAAATAATGAGAAAATTTAAACATTTGTAATACCAAATACTTCATAATATACTTCTGAAACGACTTTTCGTCCTGAATATGCATGAAATGTTTGCCACTGGACGTTTAAACAACCACTGAATAATCAATCAATCAAATTTCGCTCTCAGTAAAAATAAATTAAACAATATAAGCCACAATTGTATCCATCACTTGGTGTCTGTTGTTGGTTTGTACAGTAAACATACTGAATCTTTTAATATTCCTTATACAATTTCAAGTATGTAAAAAATTTATACATATTTTCAAACATCCTGGCACATCAAATTTCTAGGAGGTGAGATTCTCGGGGTTTTACCTGAAACTCTTTGGGAAATGCAATTTTTAATTCCAACTCCAATTCCAAACTGTAAAAGATATCCCAAGGTTTTTTAAAATGCATTTCTAATTTGATAAGGAGATTTGAAAAAAAACGATCTCAATGGTAGTTGAAATTATTCAGTGCAATCATTTTGTGTCCGCCGTTGTCTTTCATACATATCAATTGGTGTATCCACTGTTTGCTGTTCGTTATCTGTTGTTTATGGCAGTCAGGCCGCACGATCGGTCTCCAAATTTAAGCCCCCACTTAGGTAAATTAATGATCATTCATAAGGGGGGGGGGGGGCTTTTTTCTCGGGACAAACATTATTTTCCTTCCTTAAAAACAACTTAATAATTTTCTATATTTTTCATTTAATCATAAGCCGATGAATATTAAATGATTTTTAAAAAATTAAAAAAATATTTTTATTCTAATATATCTAAATATCTGGATTATTTTCTTATCCAAATAATAATTTTTTCATTTTTTTAAGGAAAAAGTGTTATCAGTTATGGCCCCCTCATTTTAGACATGACATTTTGCTTGATACTGTATGAAGATTATTCGTTGCAACTTTTATAAGGAATTACCGACTTTTTTTTAACTAGATAAATATACAACAAAAATACCGTTTTTTCTTCTTGTATCAATTTCTTTTCACAAAAATTAAATATTAACAAAGAATTGTTACACAAATGTAGAGCCCAATTTTATAACGAAGATATTCCTAATCTCTTTACCGAAATCCGCATATCTTTATCTTTTGAAACAAAAAAGTTAACTAAGGATGTCTGTTCAAAGGACAAAAATGTCCAAGAAACCGAAATTTTATAAGTAAAATTTTTAATGTAGAATAATTCAAACCCATTTGTCTTTTAAATTTAGCACATGAAGATATAATTTTTATTACATATACAAATTGATTTTGTAAAAATTAGCTTGTATATATGTGAACTTTTGTAAAAAAAAATCAGTGTGGTTCTAAAACTGTATCGCATGCCCATAATTGTCCTAAAGCTAAATGTCATCGTCAGATTATGAGGGTCTGAATAGGGACTCATTATTTCTGTATTCTATCATTTTAGGCATTTTTTTCTAATCGTTATACCTTTTGTCGATCATTCTTTATTCCATATATTCTAGTACCTCATCATTTTATTTTCTATATATTTGTCTGGTTATTTTTTGTATTCTTTATTTTTTGGTCAATAATTTTCTATTCTATAAACCCCCATCCACACCCTCATGTATAATGGAAGACGATAAACATTTTAGTATACATACCACCCGTTGTCACTTTCACCTGACATACAAACCACAAATTGTTATTTTTACCTGGACACGGGACTTATATAATTACGTAATAATAACGGATATAGTAAATTCAGTAGAATATAACCTGTATCAACGCACTGGCTTGTTAAATGAATATTGATCTGACAACTGTTTATCATATTTTTAGTTATTTTAAAATTGAGAATGGAAATGATGAATATGTCAAAGAGACAACAACCCGAAAAGAGCAGATGACAGCCGAAGGCCACCATATTTGATAAGGTTTTAGTTTCTAATGAGACAGTAACCATCGTATTTTCAGAAAATCTCTAAACGGATAATGAGAGTTTAGCGACCTTGACTGGCTATACAGCCCAAGCACGGTCGGTCTCTAAAAGTTGCCGAATTTAAGAGCCTATATCAAGAAATAGGCTTTACCTAGCTTTAGGTGTTTAAAAAATATCCATTTAAGAACCAAATGAGGCTTCTTTATATTTATACCAAAATTGAGTTCAAGGCACACAAAGTGCAACATGCGAGAAGAGGTTTCATTTCCCTTATTTATTTTTTATTGAAGTGAGTAATCTTTTGAGATTACTTCACGGAAATATATTTTAAATGAAAAGGTGCAACTGGATGCATCCCTAAAAAACAAATTTAAATATATATATATTACCTGAAGATCTGTAAAAGCAGTGAAAGCGCTAGTAAAAGTGATGAATTGAAACCGTTATTATCTTTTATTAATTTTCTTATATGTTAGCAGCATACGGATTCTACTTAACTTTTATTTATATATATATAATTTAAATTTGTTTGTTATATATATATATATAAAATGACGGATATTCGTCAATCAGACAGCAATCCAACATAAACACGAGTAAGTTACCTGACATCTAGAATAAGAGGTTTAAGCATACCCCGCGCTGGTCAACTTTCTGAGTTGTGGGTAAAATTCAATATACATGTAGGACTGTGAAACGGGAAATATACGAAAGATTTGCTTTTACGTACGATGAAGTGTCATTCCCTCAATACATACGGGTCCACCGTGAAACTATTCTTATGATTATATAACAGTAAATGAGGATCTCATTAGAGGAACAAATGAAGTAAAGATACATGTTGAAGCAAGAATAATTTCCACATGCAAAACATCAAATAGGACGGTCTCTAAATTAGTACGCGGCAACTTTAACTATTACATTCATAGACAATAACACTAGTAAATGTTTTATATACTGACATTGAAACAAATATACTGCTCATAATTATTGCACATCTGTAGACTTTAATCTAGGTATCCCGCGTTATATAAACCATCGCAAACCATCGAA